TCTACAGTACCATGCTGGCTCTGTTGGGACGACAGCTCAGGCAGCTAGGCATCGTGAAGGCCAGTACCAGTGATGCGGATGTACTAAAGGTAACAATGACAGAAGTGGAAGTAGAGTGGATTCTAGCTGGCCGATTTTTCATGTGATTTATCCCATATGGGAATTTTTTATTTTAATATTTCTAATGTAAATGAAAGTCTCACCCTGCTGTTGAAAATCAATCAACCACACCAGATCAGGAGACCTGATCACCCTTACCATGTCAGGGGGGGCTAATGTAAATGATGAAATGACCAAATTACAGCCTCCATGTAACACAATATGAGCCTGACTAAATCTGAATCTCTCTAAAAACCAAAAGACTGTGGGGCTATGAAGTATGTTTTTTTTGTTGTTGTTTTTTTTGGCAGGGATCTGTTATTCTTTGTCAAGTCAAAGAATCAGAAACTTTACATATTTTTTAACTCTGAGAAAGGCCCCTTCCTCTGCCTTGTTGGCTTCTGAATTGGCTGACTATCAGTACTGCTGGTAGATAATGGCAAACTTCTTTATAACTGCTCAAAGCTTACATTTTTTTATGCTTATTCCAGGCTGCACGGCGGTACTGTCCTCACCATGTTGGCCATTACCTGGGCATGGACGTCCACGACACTCCTGAGCTGTCCCGCTCACAACATCTACAGCCAGGAATGGCCATCACTATAGAACCAGGTTTACACAAACTAGGCTTTTAAATATCTTCTTACTCTGTGGCTGTGTGAATCAAGCACCTGGATGATTTCGGTTTTCAACAATCTAAACTGCAGCACAAACACTCTCACCATCCCTCCCAGTTATTGTGGTGAATGGAAACAGCCCTCCATTACACATTATCTATGCTATATTGTCCTTTGTTTCATTTTATTCCTGCTTTCATACATTTTCCACTGTTTTGCTTCTGTTGTGACAGGGTTGTATATCTGTGAGGACAATGACCAAGTGCCGGAGCGTTTCCGCGGCCTGGGCATCAGGATTGAGGATGATGTGGTGATCCGAGACAAGGGAGGCCCTCTGATTCTGTCCTCTGACGTACCAAAGACCATCGCAGATGTGGAGCAGGCCTGTTCCCAGACATAGGGTGCAGACAAGTGACCAGCCACCTGAGCCTCGGCATCGATGACAGGCAGCCTTATTATAAGGCCAACCCTTATTATTATGAAGAGCTCAGTTACAGTAAAGGAGGATTTAGTTGTGTGGCTACACCAATACCACATGGAGACCAGTCCTGATCATGTACAATACATCCATCTAGTGATGTGATGGTGCTGTCAGTGGGTGAAATCCAATGCTGAGCTATAAATAAAAAATCTAGGAACAGCAGTTTACTCTTGCATCAAGAATATATTCAGCTGAAGACCCAGTGGTTAGATCCAACAACCATATAAGCATTTTCATACTTAAAACCTATTTACGCCATACCATGTTTCTCAGAATTGTCACCATTAGGCACTTTGATACAATTGTTTGTTTGTTGTCTCACTCCAAAAAAAATGTTTTAAAGCCTGTATTTGTCTCATACATGCAAAAATGCATTATTCATTCCCAGCTCATGCTATAGTACAAAATATCAAAATACCAAATGTTGGTCACTGTGCTGTAGGATGCTCAGGAAGGACTCTGTCAAATCAACAGACCACCACGGTGATGAATAAAGAGGAACCAGTCTTAAACAATTACTGTTCAAGACAGATGGTAATAGTTACACCAATGCACTAAAATGGCTTAAAAAGACAAGCGTTTGTATGTGTTTTGGGTGTTTTGTCTTTTCAGCAGAGAGAAAACTGTCATCTCTCTCTGAAAATGGTGTTTATATGTATTTAAAAAGATCTCATTATTCCTTCTTTCATAACTAATAAATTCTAGTGGTTTGCCTCAGGTTATTTATGACGGACGACATGATGTGAAAATCGATGAGTGTGTGGCTGGATTGAATTAGGTTACAACAACCTTGACTGAAATATTTCATCTCAGGGAGGCTTAGATGTGGGTGCTGGTGGGTAGGAATGTCCCCTTCAATTACAGGAAAAGAGACACTTCTTGTTTTTTACAGTATTATTATATTATTATAATTATAAGTATTTTCGTGGTTTTTATTCACTTTGTCACGCCTTCATGTTTAACAAAAGGAGACCCCAATGCATGCCATTGACAACAACTACTGTAATGTAACTTATATGTTTTCTCTTTCAGGTCAGGGGTGCAGAGAAGCAATATGTTATTGAATATCAATCAATATCAATTTTATTTATATAGCACACTTAAAACAACCAAGGTTGGCCAAGGTGCTTCACAGGTTAAATACAACAACAAGACACTACTCACACAGTAAAAGTACAGCAATAAAACTATAATATACATTATACGATATTTAGTGATATTAAAATTGCCAGGAATAATAACAGACTTAACTCGAAGGAAATGCCAATTGAATTCCAAACTGTCTTATGGTTTTCTTTACTTGCTTCTTAACCGGCATCCTTTTAAATGCAAACGCAAGCCATATGTTTCCTTTTTGCTGACAAAACAAGGGAAAGTGAATCATGATAAAGAATGTAGGCTAAGAGTTAGGGTTTGATTTAATATCACCCATTTCTTAGTCCAAAGAATTAATGAGTGGATAGACTACAGGGGCTTTGGACCAAAATCTGTAACTTAACCGTAACACACTGGAGCACATTCCTATTTGGGTTTTGGTGCTTAAAGTACCAAAATAGGTTTGAATAATTAAACTGCAATGACACAAGAACTTACAGAGATTGTCGCCTGTGTCTACCCCACAAAGAGGGTAGAAACTATTCACAACAAAGCCGAGAGAGTACTGTGTTTTAATACCGCAGCTGCTGAAAATACTTCTTTCTTATCAGGACATCTCAAGCATACTTTCCGACAACCACCAAGATAAATCAGTGTACAAATGGCAGGTATCCATAGCAACAGTACTTACTTCACACTACATTGCCAGTTAAACCTGCGTTCAGCTATACCTTTTAATATTAACACTGAATTAGATTACTCTGCTGTGTGAAATGACTACTAGTAGTGCTGAAGCCATTTAGAAGTAGCATCCCATTTTGCAGGTCTTCAGCCTTATTGTTCTCCCACTCTCTGTGCATTACATACACATTGCATCTTATTTTGCACTGAGAACAACCACTACTCCTCTATGGGCTCCAGGCTTGCTGTGTGACTATTCTGTGACGATTAGATTCACAGTAAACGTGGGGCTCTAGATGTTTGGGCCAGTTTACTGCTTTGGCATGTTGGTAATCCGGCCTTGGCTCTCATCAGCACCCCCTAAATAAAACTGTGGGCAGCCACGTCCAGCAAACAAGATCAGACAGTGTCACTGCACTGCTACCTACCCAGCCTAAAAGTGAACAAATGACTCGTCAAGAAAGTCAAGCATCTGGCAATGAAGATGAATTTTTCTGTTAGGAGTTGGTGGACTCCAGCGGAGTTAAGTGTGAATTTATATTCATAAGTTGGCCAGCAACACAACTGAGATGGTGCTCTGTGTCTGCTGGATGAATAGGTAGGCAACTGTTTCCTATACAGTTTCCACAACAACTTGGGTAGGGGAGCGTTGCACCAAAACATTTGTGAATTGAAAGTGTGAATAACACATGGAAGATGGATGACATGCTATGGCGAGACGTGAGCATGTAATGCAATAGTTTCTTATTTACAAATTTACTCAGACTTCTTGTATTGAGACATTTCTCTTTACTGTGCTATTCCTTAACAGTTTTATTTTTTTTTTCAGCAGATACCATCAGTTGAAGAATCACAATAGAAAATCTTTGATACCTCTCAGATAGTTGGTGAGGGTAAATTACTTTACTACTGAATGACTGTCAAAGTCCCCGTTCACCGAAAAATGTGTTTTGCTTATTGTGTGTAACTCACTTTTTCCACTTTTGACACACACGTAAAATGTTTCAGTGAGTGACGAGTTGTGCAGCTTTGTATAAACTGATGTGATGATCAGTGGCAGCTTAGTAGTAGCACCCTGTAGTGCATTTACTTAAGTACTGTACTCAGATATAAATTTGAGGTGCTTGCACTTGGCTTTGCTATTTCCATTTCACTTTGCACTTCCACTCCACTACAATTCAGAATTAAGTATTGTCCTTTTTACTCCACTACATTTAACAGTAACTTTGTAGATTAATATTTTACAACAAAATGTATGAGTTTATAAAATATGATGCATTGTTATAGATAAAACTACCCAATGCTATTTGCCCATTAATACATAAGCAATAATATAATAGTAATGGATTATTTTTACCCTGTGGTGAAAAATTTGAATACCTTCCCCGCTGCTGATGTTGGTTGCATGTAAAACTTTCATAAAGTTTCAAAAAATGTGCTCAGGCAGATTAGAAAAAGAAACAGCCTGCTGGTATGTGCTACAGAGGTGTAGGAAGTATCCAGACCCTTTAGTAAAGTAGTAATACCAAAACTATTCCATTAGAAGTAAAATACCTGCATTTAAAATGTTACTTAAGTAAAACTACAGAAGCATTATTAGGTAGATGTACTTATAAAATGTAAAAGTACTCATTGCTTTCACATTATAATTATTTGATTGCATATACTGATGCATAGACAGGTCGAGATTAAGCTTATTTCTACTATGTTATATACTGTTGGGTAATTTTAATTCTGCAATAGCTGACCAGATATTTGAATTCATACTCTTCAAAGTAAACTAACTAGAGCTGTCACATAAATGTAGTGGAATACTTGATTAAATATAGTTTGTATGTGAAGGAAAGGAAAAGTGGAGCGCCACTGTCCCCTACAGATGAAATCAGTGACTACTACAGAGTACGGAACCGGTTTCCGGACAATCCCGAACAACTACGAAGACAACCCCCCCCTGTTCTCCCCCGGTTCCCTCCTCCCCTTCTCGCCTAATGTTGCTGTACCTCCAACCCTCCCCCCGTATCAGAGGAGTAGAAACAACAAGCCGCCATTTTGTTTGTGCGGACAGACCGTCAGAAACAGGAGGAGATAACTGAGAAGGAGCGACTCCGGCGACCGACTGCAGCTGCTCCGGGAAGCGCCGCGGGAATAAAGTGGCGAAATCCTGTCCGTGTTAATGAGGAGAGAGAAAGCATCGCCAACAGATAAGACGACGGTGGAGGGAAAACCGAGTCGGTGAAATAAATGTGTGCATGAGAAGGAAATACTCCGAAAAATCCAAGGAAGGGGGTGTTTTGCGGAGACAGAGGAGAGGCGGAAGAGCGCTGTATTTTATAACAACGAGGAAAAACCTGCGAAAAAGGGAAACAGCAACATGAAAAATCAGTATGTGTCCATCGCGGAGGAAGGAAAGAGCCCGCATAGACAATTATATAAATAAATTGCTGCCGGGCAGAAGGGAGAGGTGGAAATAAAGACGGGTTTAAAGAGAAGGGAAAAATTGCCAGGATCAACACGAAGGGGGGGCATTCTCCATCACAAAGAGTCAATGAGAGGATTTTGTCAGCCCAAATTTTTTTTAGGGGGGTGTCAACATTAGGGTGCCGATGTGAAGCTTTCCGCTTCCGAAATAGCCATAATTTTCTCAGCGATCTGCCATCAATTTTTATCACATTTTCGCCTGTCGCCGTAGTTGTGTCCTGATCTTTCGTTTTCTCTTCACTTGCATTGCCAAGGCGTCCTATAAACAGTGAGTGACAGGTATATTTTTAGGGTTATTTGCCATTATCTGAGATTTCAAGTGTTAAAAACCAAGTGGAACCCGGAGGAGGAACCTCTTCTGGAGCACAAGATAAGTATCCCCACAGATCGTCCTCTGCAAAATAAAAGTAATTGGATCAATCTGACTGCCCGCTGATTGGTAATTCGCGCTGTGATTGCCCTTAAGAACTATTCTGTCAAAGAAATGAAGTCTGCATCAGAGTCGATTGCACAAGAGGAGTGATTTTTTTTTTTTTTGGGGGGGGGGGGGGGGTGTAACAAGATTTTCTATTTTCAACCTTTGCCAGCCCTGCTGACTGCAATAGGCATATACGCTCAAAAAAAGGTTGCAACAACCAAATGTGCAATACGAGTCGGTTCTTTCTGACCCAGTGCCTTGCATGGTCAAACACTAAGTGCACATTTTAGTCAGCATGCAAAAGAAAACTCATGCATGGGAATATACATCCGCAGTAGACTTTCATTTTATCTGTGGGAATCCAATGTGCATCTCTCTGCAGAGCTGTTTATTTAGTTACTGTTGAGCCAATGCAAGTTGTTTTTCTCAGTATTAACACTTGAGAGTACCATTTGCGCTTAAATTGTATTGTCAAACTACTGCTGGTGGTCTCCACTCACCGGTTGGCTGCCTTTTGGGTTTGGAAACGTGAAGGAATCGGTTGTGCATTGGCATCAGGGAGATGTTTGGTTAGGTGAGAGAAATGGTAAATGTAAGCGAGGATCTCAAAACTGTTGCATGAGAGATCGGCCTCCAGAAGTTGACACGGGAATACTCCTGGCTTGTGTTTTTTGGACCACAATTCCCATTTTCGTGCCCTGAAAGAGACCCCACTGGAGCGTTTTACCTGAAATACAGGATTTCTCCGCCGACAATGGCGGACAGGACTGAGTGCAGCACGGAGGACGGATCTTGGGACAGTTTTTGTGTCGCAGAAGAGGCTACATGAGGTTGTCAGAGGGCCGCACGCTTGCCTTTTTTGCCGACTCCACCTTCCCACCTCCTCCTGTTCAAATCTGTGAAGAAACAAAATCTCCGACAGGGGAGGGGGACTGATATCTACAGAGAGGAATAAACCGAGAGGGAGAACTGTGGGGGAAAGAGTTCAACATTGCTCTCTTCTCCCCTACCGTCCCCCGAGCGGTGGGGGACCGATCAGAAGCATTCTTACCGGGATAAGGAGACGCAAATAAGGGAAATACGTTTGCCCTCCGTGGATCTACAGCAATTGTTTTATCCGTCAAAAATATGGCCGATAATGTCCTGGAGTCCGGCCCGCCTTCAGCCAAGAGGCCCAAGCTGTCCTCTCCGGCTCTCTCTGTGTCTGCCAGTGATGGAAATGGTAAATATATTGCATGCATTACTCAGCAGGAGATAAAACAAACTAGCGTCGACGGTGCATTAAATGCTGGTCAGTCGTATAAGTCGCTGTAAAGTTGCTCCGCAACTTAGTTGGTGTGGCACTGAGTTGCCCCATAACGAATGCTTTAAAACACGAATATACGTGTAGCTTTATTAAGATAAGGGCTAGCCTGATAATTTTGGATCGCTAAAGAGAAAACGTGATGTAGTGCTGGCGGCAGGAGTAACTTTCCAGCAGGAATGTTTTGATGTGTTAGCATCAACAGGCTAACTAGCTACTAACTATAAGATCCACCTCCAAACAATGGAAGAGTCGAGTCACCCCGGTTTACTTAAAGTTGTCTAGTTACTTTAAAACTCAGTTAATTGAAAAGATGATAGCACCTACACATTAAACAACACACGACATAAGTGCACTGTAAACGCTGAGACAAATAACCGTTTCCAAACCAGCTTTAGGAGAAAGTAACGGTAACCGAGCAAGCTAGCTAACTAGCTAGGTAGATGACCGTACCGGACCGGACCGGCTCACCTGAGCTCGGTAGCTGGCTAGCAAACAAAATAATCGATTATTAACTAACCAAACCTTATTGGGCACTAGATAAACTTTTTTTCCTGTGGCTACGAACTCTTTGCGTAGTTGCATTAAACTGTCTGGGGTCCTGAATTTCGTGTACCTAACGTGTTGTACTAGCTAGCTATTGTTCGACACTTCATTAAAGTTGCGCAGAGCGTTGTTGTCCGAAGACGATGATGCAGCCGTGTGTCCATTTTTACTGTGTTACCGCGTTTTAATGAAAGGGCAAAACCAGCCGCCGTCTCCGAAATGTCTTCCTTCATGTATTTTGTTTACGGGCTCTTGATTTCTCAATTTTAGTGCCGACGAAGCCCATTCTTGTTCGCCCTCCATTGTCTTATTCTGCACGGTGACACTGCGCTGCACTTTTTGCAGTTTACTTTTCAAAACGGTTAAAACACTTATGCCAAGCAGACCGCTTGAATGCCTTTACCCTTGACTGTGAATCAAACTATTACTGCAGACGAATTCATTTCCACATATTGAGCTAAAAGTTGTACACTCTTGGTAGCACCCCCTCTCGTGTCATCCCGTTGTTAGGTATTTTGCTGTTTTCCAGTGTGAATGAATTATACAATCAGGATCTATAGCATAACAATTCTTTCCTATAACACATAGGAAGTTGGCTCCAACTGTGTGAAAAAAATAAGTAAATTAGGATTTTAAGCTCAATGCAACTCTCAATGCAGGGAGAACAGTGAAGGGAAAAGCAGGCTGGGATGCAACTAGTCTGGTGCATGAAGTCAGAAACACTGGCACAGGACATTTTCAGGAGCATTTAGTGAGATGTTGACATGCCAGAAGCAATCTTAAAAAGTCAAACGTGCAGGTAGAGAATAACTTGTGTGATGTTGAGAGAAATTACTGCATTTTCTGTATCAAGTTGAATTAAAAGGAAGGAAAATAAGAGTAAGACTGAAATGTATTAAAATCCCAAATGATTTTCCCTTTAAATTAACCTCCTGTCGCAGTGGACATGACTTCTGCTGCCTATGCTGTTTCATGTTCTTGCACCACATAACTGTAGATCCAGTGCACACATCTACCTAGGTAGTGTAGTGTTTACCACTCTGCGGCTTCTCACCCAAACCCTACTGCGTTCACTCTCCATGTTTGGCAACCCATCAAACCACAAACTGATGCCCAGGAGAGAAGTCCAGGTTGTGTGAGGCAGCTACTGCTGCACTAGCAAAGGGCTTTAGTTAATTAAATACAACTGTGGCTGTAAGAGGTGCAAAAGTGGTGTCAACTTTGTGAACCAAATCTTGATTTCTGTAGTTGGTAAGATTTTTGTTTCTTTTCCTTCGTGCCTAGATTTTGGTTCGCTCTTTGACCTGGAGCATGACCTCCCAGATGAGCTCATCAATTCGTCTGATCTGGGGCTGACCAATGGAGGGGATGTCGGCCAACTCCATACCAGTCTTGTGGGGCTCGGAGGGGGGATCGGTTTGGGAGGCCAAGATGCTGCTGCGAAACACAAACAATTGTCAGAGCTCTTGCGCGCTGGGGCACCAGCACAGCAGGGTGGCCCTCCTTCCAACAGCACAGCACCTGGGGCTTCCTTGGGGATGATGGGGGGTGTCAATGTGTCCCCTGGTGGACCTCAAGGCATGTCCTCTCAGGGTCAGCAGCAACCTGGATTAATGCAGCAGGTTGGGATGGTTGGAGGGGTGGCAGCACTCAATCGGGCAGCTGCCATGATGGGTGCCCAGAAGGGCAACACTGGACAGCAGCAGCAAGGCCTGATGGGGGGACAGGTGATGAATGGCTCACCGAGAATGGGTTACCCTGGCAGTGCAGGCATGGGTAACAGTAGTAATTTGTTGGCGGAAACCCTACAGCAGCAGCAGCAGCAGGGTGGTCAGCAAATGGGACAGGCAGGCATGAGACCACAGCAACCTGGAGCACTGAACAAGGTGAGCACACTCCAGCCATTACAGACACTCTGGTCGGCCAGAAATTGACATCTCAGTAGAAACTATTTTATAACAAATGATCAATTGTTGTCTAACTGAGGTTAAGATGTATCAAATGCCAGTCTAAACAAAGTGTGTTTTTGGAGCTGTGCTGAGTGCCATGCCTGCATGTAGTTTTCTTCAAATATAAAAAGATTTTCAGCACTGACAGATTCCCTGTACATTCAAGATGTTGTGGCACTGTTAAAATTGAGAGACACATCTTTTCAGACCCGAGTGACGCTGCAGACTGTAGTAGCGGCTCATGTGAGACTGCTGTAGACGAGTACTAAGTATGAGTGTGGTTATGTGTTGGACTCGCAGTCGCGTCACTGTTCACCCTGTGGTATTGATGGTTAACCTCCCTGCTAGTCAATACGCCACACAACTGTTGTGTTCTAAAGGTGTGAAGACAGGATTGCAAATTACAGTGTTAAATTATTTAGCATAACTAGTAGCATAACTATCTTTGCTTTACCGCTGTGGTAGTGCACCAGCAATCACAGGAAGTAATGTAATGTCCTGTGGTTAACATATGCACCAGTAAAGTATGTATTCATGTTCAGTGCAAATTGCCCTTGTTTTGGAGAAAACCGTGCAGTTTAATTGGTTAGTTTCAGCTCAGATTTAGCGAGGAACATTTTCATTAGACTGTATTGGTCACATAGCAAAAAAATAATGAATCACTTCACATTGCTGCAGAGCTGCTGTTGAAATAAAGACTAGATACTGTAGGCTGGATCTGCAAAGCCTAAAAGTAGCATCTAGATTGTCTGTGGTATTAGTTTACTGTGGAGAGAAAAGTAAGACCAAGAGAAAGAAGTAATATTGTAACTGAACAGTCACACTGGAAAATCATTATAAAGGAATCAGAACCTTTTTATAATAGTATTTGGAAAGTGATTCCATTTTGTCTCCCTAACATGGTCCAATTGGTATGTAGTTGGATACTATGTAGTATGCAACTACATACTATATAGGATACTAAGTAGCTCTCAAACTCATGCAAGGTGACATTTTAATATCAACTATTTCTCACTCAAATGTTTAAATATCAGTTGACAGTCTGCTTTAATCAATCACGTCTTGAAAAGTAATTGATTTGAGCTTCTAAACTTTTTACTTCCTCCTACTTTTGTCTTCATATCATCTCTCCTCCTCTCCTTGTCTCTCATCCTTCTCTTTTCCTTTTCATCTTTCTCATTTCTTTGCCTCCCCTCACCCTGCTCTCCAGATGAATATGATGGCCAATGCGGGCCCCTATGGTGGTCTGTACGGCCAGTCTGCTGGCCAGGGGCTGCCTGGAGCAGGGCTGGGCCCACAGCTCCAGAATAAGGCGGGCCTGCCCAACAGTATGGCCACCCAGTTCAACATGGACAAGAAGGCCCCACCGGGCCAAGGCATGCCTGGGATGGTAGGATATGTTTGTTTCTCTCCCGCACAGGTGGATAAGCCACTTAGATTAGTGTACATCAAGCTTGCATTTCAACCAAAGTCTCTCAAATGGTCTGAAGTTCAACTAAATATGCTTTTTTTTCTTTTTTAGCATCAAACATTTTCTCATTCCATCTTTTAACACATCCTTTTTTTTTTTTTTACGTCTTCACTGAAGCAGTTTAACGTGGCGTAGGACTTTATGCACGTTGGCCACCTGTGTGAATGTTGCCACACTATCTTTACTGTAGAACTCAAGGTGTCAAATGCAAAAAACAAAAATGACCACCAATCTTGGATTTTGGAGATGGTGTTATAGATGAGACAGCTGAGGAGAGACTAGATTTCACACGAGGCAAAGGGACTCCTACACATGAAATCCGTTTTTTTTTTCTGTGTGCCTCTGTGACTCAGAAAGGCTTTCAGTATGTGATTTAAAATGATTGTTCATGTGTATGAATAAAAGAGGCAGAGAAACCAGTTTCTCCACCAGCAATAAGCTGTAAAGACATAAACGCAGTGCAGAAGTTATCTGTCCAGGTGAATGTCCTCTGCACTTGACTGTTTATCACACATTATATAATGCTCTGTTGTCCATGTCTGTGACTGTTTCCTCCCCTTGACTGCCTCCCATGTTATTCATGGACCACTTTGCCTGAGCAAGATGCATTTTGGAATTTAACTTCATGTCAAACCTTTTCTCTTTTTTCTTCCTGTCGCAGTATGGCCCCTGTGACAACAGCATAGGTCCCTTTAATACCACTACTGATAAATATGATACGTTTTCATCCTGACATTAAGACTTAAAGCTTTACAGTCTGAAATTCTTCTTTTTACTCTTTGTGGACAGGTTTTATGCAAAAAAACATTACCAAACAGTCATTAATGCTCACGATGACATCAAAGTCTCAGGAACTATTCATGAACAGTTAAAACAAGCGATTTGACAAGTTTGTGCAGTTAAGAGAATCTGGTGAATGTGACGTGGAACAGTTTAGTGTAACAGTTGTATTTAGGATAAGAATTAGAAAATGGTTTGCATGAGGTTTGTTGTGTCATTCCTGCCTGAGTTGTGAGAGGCTAAGGGTTGGGGTTATTGATCATGGGTCATCCGGTTTTTTCAATAAAGGAACAGCTTTTTCCAGATTACACTATTCCATCATATTTTCTTGTCCCCACTAAAGAGTGTATGGGTGGTGCAGGTATGTGGCTACATACCAGTTTCATTTGGAAAAGACTCTCTTTACAGACAAATCTGAAAGGGACATTGAGAAATGAGTAACTGGTACCTAAATTATCTGCAATCAAGCTTACAGATGTTTTAGAAGGACTCATAGTCGTCTCAAAGGAGAAGCAGCTCAGGCTGAATCCTATGGCGACTAGGAGGAAAATTATCAACGTGGTTGTCTTACGTGAGATTTTAGTGAAGAAGTAGCTTAAATCTGCATTACAGTAATCTTACCAACCTCTATGAAATGAATACTTTTTGAAGTAAGATCAACCAAATGCCCCAGAGCTGCCCTGTCGGATTACAATGAGTCACTGTAGGTTATTAAAGCCCCTGTCCAAGTGATACTAAACTAGGCTTTAGGCAGATTAAGGAAGTAAACTACAGTGTCTCCATTACATAGTTGATCTATCAGAGAGATTTTTCAACTGAACAATGTCTCACTCAGTATCTATCCTGGACACAATTCCTTAAAAAAGACGAATCTAAGGGATCTTAATCAACATTGTTGTTCATATTTTGTGTTTGACAGTATTCACGCGTGCACTGTTGCATTACATGCTTGCATTATTTACAATGCTTATTGCTGTTTGGCTGTAATTAAACACCGGCTTTATTTTATTTTATTTTTCCAGAAACAATCTCGTTCACTCTTTAGGTGGTTTCATGTTTTTAATTACAGAATTGCTTGAGGCATTGTTCTGAAATGGACTCCTTTTATTGACTGCGTATGCGAGTTCTTGATTGTTGAATTTTTTTAGCAACTTTGAACTATTTTAAGGTATTAGACAGAAGACAGTTAACGCCTCATATCTATCTACGCATGAAAATCTGCCGTACATGTAACCACATTTTACACAAAGAAAATTCAATGTAAGACTACAAAGTGTAGGAAAAACTGCTAATTGATATGTTGAGCAAATTTGTCATTACAAGTGGTCCCATAATACCTGACCAGTCATAAACATTTCTTTCTAACACTGGTCTATGCCTCCCCTCCCCTCTCGGTCCCAAGAAGTCTCAGCAGCAGCCCGGGGGAGTTGGTGGTGGATCCATCGGCGGGGCAGCAGCAGTGGGAGGGGCCCAGGTCGGCCTCGGTGCCGTAGGGGCGGGTCCCGGCACAGCGCCCCCTACCGCAGACCCTGAGAAACGGAAGCTCATTCAACAGCAGCTGGTCCTCTTGCTGCACGCACACAAGTGCCAGCGTAGGGAGCAGGCGAATGGCGAAGTGCGGCAGTGCAACCTGCCCCACTGCCGCACCATGAAGAACGTGCTCAACCACATGACTCATTGCCAGGCTGGCAAGTCCTGCCAGGGTGAGTCTGTGGAATTATGATGATTGCTGGTTTAACGGTGTGTCTGGTTTATATTATAAACACTGTGCACTGTAGTTGTCACGTACCTGCAGCAATTAATTAAGTCTTTTTTTGCTTGTTCCTGTATGTTGTTTATTTCCCTCTTGGTTTGCCTCCCGGTTATTCTCTAGCTGCCTGTTCTGCTGTATTTTTTCCTTACTCCTCTCATCTGGATGTAGTTTTATTGTACTGAATGACTCATACAATAACTTTCTCAGTGTCTGCCTTCTCTTTCGTCCTTTTGACTCTTCTGGCTGCTTTCTTTTTTTCTCTTATCCCTTTTCTCATTATTCATCTCCCTCCTTCACCCTGTCACAATTTCTCATTTCACCCTTTCTGTCACTCTTCTCTATTTTTTTTTTTGTTCTGATCTCTCTTCCTGTTTCTCAAACCTCTCTCCATTTCTGTCTCTTCTCCCCCAGTGGCACACTGTGCCTCATCCAGACAGATCATCTCTCATTGGAAGAACTGCACACGGCACGACTGTCCCGTATGCTTGCCGCTGAAAAACGCTGGAGACAAGCGGAATCAGCAGTGTGAGTGTTTGTTACTCCCCGTGAGCAGTGTACATGCTCACAGCTCTTATCATTTATTTATTACACATTATCCACCATGAAATGATTGAGAATCCTGTAACTGAACTGTTAAGTGCAGTAGGCTCAAATCCCCAGATGCTCATCCTTTGTCTCTTTCTCTCATCCATCCTCTCCCCCCCTTCTCGTTCTCTTGAAAGCTTCTGTTAACAGTGCAGGGGTTGGACTGGTGAACTCTTTAGGTTCAGGGGTGCCTGGTGGACAGTCCAACACTCCGAACCTGAACCCTCCCAACCAGATTGACCCCAGCTCTATAGAGAGGGCCTACGCTGCACTAGGCCTCACTTACCAGGGCAACCAGATGACACCGCAGCCAACACAGGCCACCATGCCAAACCAGGGGCTGCAGGGCCAGCCCGGGATGAGGACTCTGAACACCATGGGTTAGTTTATAATGACATTGTGCATATCACAAACTATATCTTCACCTGCTAGGGAAGGGGTTATCACATTGGTGCTTTGTAGATGATGCCAGGCAGTTTTACATGGCGTTGCCTGTCTATGTTATAGGGCATACACTACAATACAGCATCTCCATGTCAGTTTAATAGAAAGAGTAGCATCTGTGTTTTTGATGGGATTGAAAGTCACACCGTCTAGATTTCAAAATACCCTGCTATACCATGATGCCACACAAACCTACTCTCAAATTGTGCGTTAATGTTGTTTTTATGATACTTTCCTACTAGGTTATGGCTGATGTTGAATCACTGTAGTTCTTTGTCTTGAAAATGTTCCCATTTGAAGATGCAGCTTATATCAGCCCTAGTTATTGGTTACAGCAATTTGATTCCACCATTATTGTTGTGACTATTTCCCAATTAAAAACCATATGCCTTTCCAGGAGGAAACTCTATGGGAGTAAATGGTGGAGTGGGTGTGCAATCCACCAACCAGCAGTCCAACCTACTGCCAAACGCGATGTTACACAGCAGCATGAATGCACAGAGGTAGGTGCTTTTCATTGGTCACAGTACAGCTGTCATATAACAGACTTAAACCAATTGAAATTAGTTCAGTACTGGCTAAAGTCCCCCCTCTGTCCCCCAGCTTGATGAATGATGGTGTGGGGAACCTGAGCTCCATGCCCACGGCAACTCCTCCTTCTGCTGCAGGCATGAGAAAGTCTTGGCATGAAGACATCACACAGGACCTTCGCAACCACCTTGTCCACAAGCTGTGAGTCTGCTGTGTCCTGCAAGCGCACCAAAAAATTTCACTATCAGCAGGACCTAAATAAATTTAAATATCAGATCATTTTCAGCAATGGATGTGAATTGGGTGCCTCTGTCTTTAATTTAATTGTAGCTGTGTGTCCTTTCTGTTTGTGCATGTGTGAGAGCAGCGTGCAGGCCATCTTCCCCACTCCTGATCCAGCTGCACTGAAGGATCGGCGGATGGAGAATCTCGTGGCTTATGCTCGTAAAGTAGAGGGAGACATGTATGAGTCAGCCAACAGTAGGGTAAGAAAGTATTGTGGTATGACCATCTGTTAAGTTAATAGATGAGGAAATACAAGTGTTTGTTTTATGCACTGTTGCGATGTATCCTGTAACATCCCTCCCTCGTGTCACATCACTTCTAGGCGGAGTACTACCACCTGCTGGCAGAGAAGATCTACAAGATCCAAAAGGAGCTGGAGGAAAAGAGGAGGACACGACTCCAGAAGCAGGGCATGATGCCGGGACAACCTGGCCTACCCTCCCCAGGCCTAGCCTCCCCAGGACTTCCGCAAGGGCCTCCCAGCATGGGACAACCACCCATGGCCCCAGGGCAATCCCCAAGTAAATAAACATACTGCTTTTACCTTCCTCACATGGTTGTCTGTGTGTGCATAGACACACATGAATGCATGAACAGATACTGCTGGTGTGCAAATTATAGAAAAGGAATTTTAGTGTTCAGATTTCAGTCTAGTATCCTGTTTATAGATGAACATAACACCGATCAAATTATTAAAATCTTCAAATTAAATGTTGGTCATGAACAGATGTCTTACAGAGAACAAGCACACTTGCACACCACTTAAGTCTCTTAAGGACGATTGACTGACTGTTTTCTCAGCATCTGTGGTTTTACTGGGATTCAGTGATCCCGAGGACAACATCTCTGATTCCTGTAACTCCTGTCACCCTTTCAGATGGTCCTCACGCCGATCCGTCCATGGTCCGACCAGCTGGACCCAATCAGATGGTCAACAGGATGCAGAACCCAGGAGGTACGTCTCTTATTTCAAAGGCTTGTTGAGCAGCCGGACTGTAATTCTGTTGTTAGCTTACTAGCCTCACTACATCCTGCATCTTATGCTTACAATCCTGAGCATGCATTTTTTCTTCAGCACACAAGTGCAGTTTGCCAAGTGAAATCATGTCTGACTGGCTATGTTTTGTTCGCTTGCTTACGTCGCTGTAGGACAAATGCGTTTTAAAAAGTTTGCAAACCGGCTTACCTCAATCCTCAACTTTTCATTATGTGTTGTCAAATTCAAAATGATTCTACACTTCTCAGACGATATGGTGTCACGATCTGTTCAGCAGGCTAGCTAATTTTCTCCGTTTTTCCGTTTCAATACTGCCCTACCAAGTAAAAATGCAGTAACTGCATATTTGGTCAAAATTGAGTTATAAACTGTATCGTTTCTGTTAAAACTCTTTTTAAAGTTACACTTATAACAAAACTGATGAAAAAACCAAGACAAATCTCAGTATCAGCACTTTCGCTGTGTACACTCGGGTTTGATAATCTGCATACTTTCCGCCATAGAAAGACAGCTAAAGTAAAAGGCTGTATCAAGTGAAAGCTAGATTGTGAGATATTCACGGCTAGCCATAGATGATGATTATTTCCACTAATTGCTATCTGTAAATGAGAAATATCCAGTTAGATGAAATTACATTTTGGTTACTCTGTTTGTTATTCCACATCATTAAATAAGGCAGCAACTAAATCAAGTAGTGATAGCGAAGGGGGAAAATCCAACAAAACACCTGCTAAAGGGAGCTAGCTTACAGTAACAGATCTCAGTAGTTGCCTTCTCATTGTTTGACTCTAGTGAACTTCATGTGACTTTGTGGTTTAAGCTGGGGTAGGTAAGGCTGGACAACTAGCAAGAGACAGCTAGATTTTGAAAGTATTCAACCGAAAAAATTATCAGTACTTGGACAGATAGAAACTTGACAGACAGAAATGTTGATTCCTATAAAAGCTATGAACTGTAAGTAATAATCAAACCAAGTTAAAAAACTAGTTAAACTCAATAAGAAAGCAGAGAGAACACGTTTTATTTTATACTGCAGTTTCTCTGAGATTATTCGAAGGCATTAGTTCAGTCGCTGTATTTCTTTAGGTTTTGTGTGGGTTCTATGGCAGTGATGCTTTTAGGGTTAAAATAATCACCTAAAAAAACTTCAAATTAAAACATGAATTTTGAATCTGTTTTACAGCTTGCTGTCCAAGACTGTAAACCTGTTTTTCACAACTTCACTGCTCCTGTAGTTACTGAACTCTGCTTTTTACTGATAGTTTACTGATAAACAGGGCATACGACGAGTCACACTGACCTCCCACAGGAGTGCAAAGCACAGCCGGTTATACTTACACACTGGGAATTATTTGATTCCAGCTGATCTAAATGTTTTCCCACTTTTAAGTAGTAGTTTGACTCTAATAAAAGGTGTCAGCCTTAGTGTGAACACACTATGGGTGTTTTTGTCCTCCCATCATTTTAACCTGCTTATTTCACTTCCAGGAATGAACCAGTTTGGTCAGATGGGGATGCAGACGATGGGTCAGAGGTCAACACCTCCTCTTCCTCTTAATGCTCCACTGAACCAGGTTGGCATCCCTGTCATCATCACTATGACAGATAACTTTGGGGTTATATTAACTTTATGCTTCAAAGTCACAGTTACATCTTTTTCCAAGATTGATTAACGGGTCTCCTAAAGGTTCAGATGATGTTGTTTTCCTAACCTAAGTGCTGTTAGAAATCTCAGCTATGATCGGTGGGGAGGAATATACACACAAGGCAGGAACAGAAGAACCACGTTTAGCATATTCAGGTTCACACTAAAGAAATCATTAAAGGCCATACAACAGTAATTTCTTTTAAACAAAAACCTCTCACGTCTCTTGTCTCGTTTGTAGATGGGAATGGGAGCAACAAGGATGGGTCAGCCCAATGCCACACAGTTACAGAACCAGTATCTCCCTCCAGGCCAGTTTCCCGGGTCCAGTCCTGGACGTGGTTCTGGTTCTGTTGGCATGAACCAGCCAGGAGCACAGACTGCTGTGCCATCGGTAAGGATTAAGTGACAGAGTGACTGTAACTTTTAACATAAAGATTTTGAGAGTTTGATTGCCAAGGGAAACTTTGCCAAAACAGAGACAGTCTATGATGTAATAAAACCCACAGTTGGATGTGGGGAAACCTGCTGAATAAGTCATCAGCTCTCAGAGCAGCTTTGCTGGAATTGATGGATAGTGATGAATACTCTGTAATTAACCAAACTGTCTTCTGATTTTGATAATTCATGAACGCTGTGAGAGAAAGATCACAGTTCTTCTTGATCTAATAATCAGTTTTAATACTGGTTATTAGTGCTTTTTGGTAGCCTTTCCTATTTAATGAATTCACTTCATAGGTTTCAAACAGACTGATTGTAAATAGTATTTTGACTCAGAAGTTTGGGAGTTGTGTACCTGGTAAAGCCTTTGAAACTTTATGCCGCATTCAGACCAAACGCGAATTTTCTCCTTGCGTCGCTTTCCTCGCGTGAGTACATTTGCTGCAAGTGTTCACGCACAACGCGAGAAGGCGACCACCTCTCTTTCTTTTCTCCCAGCAATTTCCAGTTTTGTCCGGTTTTCATATAAATATGAAGTAGTGCCAAACGACGCTAACAACACTGGAACCGGATGCGCACGGAATCTAGCTGCTGAGAAGCTCGAGTGAAGATAAATCAATGTTGTAATCCTAAAAACTAAAATAAAAAGCTAATTTAATAAAAGCAGTTTACTCCGAGCTCCTCCCGTGAGTAAACGGCGAGTATTTGTCAAAGTCCAGTCCGACTGCGGGTGTTTTGTTTGTCCGAAAGCTGGAGCGCTACTCCCTGCTCCTCTAGTCCAAGTTTAGCAGCTCTCAGCCGGCCTGCAGATCTTCAATCGCCCGCTCTGCCCAGCCCTCTCCACACGCTCTGAAGCAGTCGGTGACGTACGGACAGTCTCAACGTTGATCGGCTATCGCGACTCAGCATCATGTGAATCCCTTGCGTTGCCTTCGCTTCGCGTTGCGGCCCCCTTCACGCCGCCCAACAGGAAATCGCTACTCTACGCATCTTTGTATGTAAACTCACTGGCCTGAACGGTCGCTTTGGTTTTGCTCTGAAAGCACCATTAGTCAGACCCTTCTTGTTTCTTACTTGTTTTTCCCATAGAGATCCAAGTTTTTATAAAAAAGAGTTCTGTTGACGTTAAAAAGAGCAGGGACCCTTGGCTTTTCTTATTCCTCTGAGCTCTGTGTCTTCCTCTATAGCAGAACCAGATGTCCACGCCGCCTTCGCTGCCGGCCAGCAGCCCTGCAGCACAGTCTGCCTCTTGTGCTCCTGGCTCCGGAGCCCCTGGAGTCTCCATGGGGTCTGGTAGTGCAAGTGGCGCTGGGCCTCTACCCAACCTGCCTCCATCCTCGACCTCCACCCAGCCCAACTCGTACCCTCACTGCCCACCCATCCGAACAAACTCCCCCTCACCAGCACGCAGCTTAACGCCTCAACCGCATCAAACGCCCCCCACGTTACCTCGTTCTCAGACCCCACAGCCACAGACTCCCAGCACACCTCAGCTGCCCCCTCCACAGCACCCCCAGCAACAACAAAAACAACAACACCAACAAGCTTCACAACAGCCGCCGCCAACAGGACAGGCGGTGAACTCTGAAAAGCCCAATCATCTTCCGCAGCAGACGCTTGGGGGTGTGGCTGTCTCAGGCCCCCAAGCAGGTCAGGCTTCTTCGGAGCCTGCCCAGAATGCTCATGTGCCATTGCAGCGGCCGCAGACCCCAGTGAGTAGATCACCTTGCTTTCTCTACTTTGCTCACATGCTCAATATTAAAAAAGAAATTTAGGTTTTGCAAATTAATCAATGTGTTGAATCTAATTAAGGTTCTTTTGAAAACTTAATTTGTCCATAAATATACAAATAAGGTTGCGGAAGAATTACTGTAATTAGATTACAAAAAAATGGTCAGTGAGTGTGGGAACCCAACAAAAACATGTGGGTCTTTCTAAACCTCACACCATCTCTGTCTTTTTGCCACAGCTGTCTCCAAAGCCTTCTCTAACAGCGGATGGTCAGGTGTCCTCTCCAGCCTCGGTCAGCAGCAGCACCGACCCCAGCTCCCAGCTCACCCAGGCGGACGGTCCTGCTCCCAGCCAGGAAGATGTCAAAATGGAGGTGAAGAAGCAGGAGGAAGAGGACGAGGGGGCTGAGAGCCAAGGAGAGGGCAAGGGGAAGATGGGCAAGGGTCTGCTTGACTTGAAGACAGAAGAGAAACCAGAGGTGAGATCGTCCATGTTGACATACTGACAGTCTTATCTGGGTGCCATCCCATCCTGGAAAAATAAATTGACCTTTGAATCTTCCTCTCAGATAAAGAAAGAGAAGCCGTCAGGAGATGGGTGTAAAGGCGAGCCCATGGATACATCTACCTCCTCTGTGTCATCGTCAGTAGCAACAGGTGAAGACAAGAAACCTGAGGTGAAGAAGGAGCCCAAAGAGGAAGAGGAGGGCTCAGGGTCATCAGCCTCCAACAGCTCCCCAGCCAGCGCTCAGAGCAAGAAGAAAAGTAAGTTTGGAATCTGCACATCAGTGTGTAGTAGGGTAGAGTCGGAAAATGTGTACTCAAGTTAAAGTAAAAATAGTCATGAAAATAATAACTTGACACACTGAGATTTAAAATCACACTGTGAGGTCAATTCATTCCAATGGAATCGGCGCCATCTAAGGATCTGCTCGAGGGTGCGAAATTAATCTGCTCAAATTTTCAACGTGGAATTATATTTTGGTGAACTTGAATTTGCGTTGTTGACCATGCAGTTAGCAAACTTGTTAGCTTGGGGAGTTTATTTTCCCTTTTCAAAAACTATTGAAGAGTTTGTGCAATTGTAAACAAACTGCCAGGGCTAAATAACAGAACAGCAGAAAGAAAATGAGAAGCTCCAGAAGCTTTTGTAACAGACTGGAGTTATTGGTTAGCTTGCCGGCTACAGCAGTAGTCACTACGTCACCAGTCTTCCACCTATTTTGCAAGTACAAGTGAATGCCACTTTGTAGTGTGACCTCCGCTTCAGACTCCAGAAGTATCCAATGAAGAAATTATGAGTGGTGAGTAACTTCATAAACAAACCTCCTAACTTCATAAAAAATCTCCGAACTTGTGTTTGTGTCCAAAGTGAGCTAACTTTAGCGTTCTCGACCCACTGAATGCAGTGTGTCAAATTTTGCAGATATTCACTTAAGGCATTGTTGCAGACAGCGTATGAGATGCATTAAAACACTGGTGCCTTTTGTTTTCTGTGTAAAGTCTGACTCACAGGTGTCGTCGTGATGCCCTATAACCTGGAAAAGCACCACATTTATCACATTCACTCCCCGGACAAACACATCTCAGCTACTGCACCCTTAATGCTTAGTCTCTCTGTGTGCTGTGTCTGATGTTTGCTGCAGCCTTCATTAAAATGACGCAATGCTGCATGATCCTCAAGTTCAGCAAAGAAGAGAGGCTCCTTTACAGTTTGTGCCCGTGGCTCTTCTTCTCTTCTCATTTACCTTCCATCTCAAGATCTTTCATTCCTCATTTCCAGTCTTTAAGCCGGAGGAGCTGCGTCAGGCTCTGATGCCCACCCTGGAAGCTTTGTACCGGCAGGACCCTGAGTCCCTTCCCTTCCGTCAGCCGGTGGACCCCCAGTTACTGGGAATACCCGTACGTATTCGAACTAGTAACAAAACTAACCTGGTAAGGGACTGCACTGGCTGCCATTTTGCTTCAACTCCTCTGAAAACGTAGTTTTTGTTTTGTTTGTTTTCCTTTTTTTCATCTTTCATGTTTGTTTTTTTTCTTATCATAGTTGTCATATTTTCTGAATTTATTTTAATATATCATCTTTCAGTTTCTTTAATCTTTTAGCTGATTTTTCTCCCATTGCATGTCAGAAGTTAAGAAAATGAGATGTGCGTGTGTGTGTTCTCTTTTTTTTGAAACTTCTTGTCATTTGTAAATCAAAGCAATGACTCTTATGAACATTTGCCTTTACTTTGATGGAACTGTAGTGAAGGACAAAAAGTAAATGATGCAAATTCGATATAAAACAACAGTAAAAGTTTGGTCGAGTAATTACAGATTTTGAAATTTAGGTTTGTGTACTGACAGCTATTAGTGTACATGGATTTAATTTTAATTGAATTGTAGACCCCCCCCCCCCCACCCAATTATAATTACCTAAAAAAAACTTGAAGCATCCATCAGAGTATTAACCCTAATTAATTAGTAGCTGTTAATTTTTCTTGGCACTCAAAATACAATGAGACAATAATGGAGAGATGTCAAAACTATGTATAGTCCAAAGGAAGAATTTGCTTTAACAACAGTTCATGAGCCAATTGCTTTCATTTATCACTTTTAATTTGTTTGACTTTTGCCTTTTCGACATCAAATTTTAGGTTTTAAGTTGAATTATGATTTTTGTAGTTTTCATCCTAGTATTCCATTGCTAGCTTTCTAGTTCAGTTCCTCACCAGTAGTAGTGTATCAGTGTTCAGGTGGGCAGTGTGAAGAGGTGGGACAATATCTTTACCCTCACTACATCCAAATTAGAGGGAAAAGAGTAATTTTATGAAAACAGAGGGACAGTGTCCGTCCTCCTACTGCCTCATGCAATATGAAGTTAAATAAATGCCATTTCTAGAGAAGTGATGAGCGAGCACCAGGCTATTGGCTCATCTCTCTTCGGGAACCTCCACATTCAAGTGATGCAACTTTCCACTGTTGTATAATAAAACAACACTGTTTTTAGACATTCAGCAGCTTACCGAAAATGTAAGTTACTCACAAACCGATGGCATTTATAAACACTGCAGTGATGTACATTCGGTCCTGCAGGTTGATATGCATCATTTGTTTGCTCCTGTGAGTGGTTCCATTCAGAGAGGAGGGTCTGTTTCCTAAATTTTGTTGCCATGGTGACAGTGAGACGGACCCTGCTCTTTGAAACTCACACCTCCTCCTATTTTTTTTTTTTTTTTTTTTGTTGAATGTTTTCCTCACCCTCCTCTCCGCTCCTTTTCTCAAATGGCGTTTTTGTTTGAGAAGAAGCGGAGGGCAGGCGACAGGAGAGGAAATTCGTCCCTCTTACACTCGCTTCACCTCAGCACTGTTGGCTTTAACTCTGCCATCGTATTGCCACTCACGCTGCTGGCGGCGTTAATGCCAACCACTATGTTGCTATGAACAGTAAATCTTTGTCTGCCTGTTGCTGTTGCCACTTCTCTGTTCTTCTTGGTTTTGCACCCTGATCGCCTCCTTGGCCTGAAAGCTTTGTTTGCTTTCAGACTTGAACAGAGAACCACCAGCTGTTGGGCAGCTGTGCCACAGTGTGGCAAAATGAGCAAATGTACTTATTGAGACAAATTGATATATAATGATTTTTTGAAGCTTGGCAATAGGAAATGTAAAATGCAGTCATCTGTAGCTAGTTTTTGAATATTTGCCGCTCCAGTAACCATAGTCAGTCAGAGGACCGGACAGACTTGTGGCGGTCGCCTGGTCCCCGTTCGCAGCAAAGATACAGTACAGGTACCTGACTATATGTGTAGGGTGCAAAGCAGAGAGCTGAAGGGCAGAAGTTGTCATGTCTCTCTGTTTGCACGTGAACCTTCTTCTCTGCAGCCCTCAACAACATTGTCCCCCTGCACCCTCTTCTCTCCCTACTCTGGTCCCACCTGGTCGACTTCATCACACCTTCACCTAATGACCACAACGCTGATGATGATGATACTCTTCTTCCCCATCTCTCTCATCTTGGTCCCTCGGATGACCAAACCCTCCCGTCATCTCGCTTCTTTCCCTCCTCTGATCCTTCGCAACTCCTGGACGTTACCTCTACCTGCCACTCGCATCTGGATGGCGCCACCCCAAATCAGGACTACTTTGACATCGTGAAGAACCCCATGGACCTGTCGACCATCAAGCGGAAGCTGGACACTGGGCAATACCAAGAGCCTTGGCAGTACGTTGAGGATATCTGGCTGATGTTCAACAATGCCTGGCTGTACAACCGCAAGACGTCCCGCGTCTATAAGTACTGCTCTAAGCTGGCTGAGGTGTTTGAGTCGGAGATCGATCCTGTCATGCAGGGCCTCGGATACTGTTGTGGGAGGAAGGTGAGGCCGGCTCGTGTTTTTGTTCTTCTAAACTCACCTGGTCTCAGATGAGGAATATTTCCCTCAATGATTGGCATTTTTGCTTGTCTTTTTAATTGATCTAATTTATTGTCAGGATTTGTTTTTAAATGAATAGTTTTTATAGTGACATTTGGGTAAATATGCATATTTGCTTTCTGGCAGAGAGTTAGCAGCTGTTTAGCTTAGCACAAAACCCGTAAAGCTAGCCTGGCTCTGTACAAAGGTGAGGAAATCCACCTACCAGCAGCTCTAAATATCACTAATTAACGTTATCTCGTTTTGTTTAACCTACACAAAAATGGAAATGTGAAAAAAAACTATTTGCCATTTCTTGGTTGGGAACAGTGACTGAAGCGTATGGTGGTTGCCTGGTAAGGGCTCCCAGCCAAGAAATACATTAAACAAACTGAAATGCTGGCTGTTGGATTTTGTGACCTTTGGACAGAGCCATGCTAGCTGTTTCTCTTTGTACCCAGCATTTATGCTAACATAACCAGCTGTAGGCAGCACCTGGGACAATTTTGGACACTGTACCAATCTTCTCATTTAACTTTCTACCAGAAAGTGAATAAGCCTATTCTCCAAAATGTGGAACTACTCCTTCTTAATAAGTAAGGTTTAGGCTAGGTGTGACCACAAACATGCAAGTCAGAACAAGCATGCAAGTATGTTTTAAGCTAACAGTCTGCCTTTGTGCATCCTGGTACTGTATACTTGTGTGTATGTATGAGAGATGTAACTCATTCAGTTTGTGCCCAACAACTTTTTCTTTCTGTCTCTTTATCGTTACAGTATGAGTTTTCGCCCCAAACTCTCTGCTGCTATGGAAAACAATTGTGCACCATCCAACGTGACGCTGCTTATTTTAGCTACCAGAACAGGTAAGGGCTGTCGGCACATTGGGACACACACACACACACACACACACGCACACACACGCACGCACGCATCCAGAAAGTGTTACCAGCATTTAGTTTTTTTTTTATTTTTTTTATTCTGTTGTTTTTTTTTGTTTGTTTGTTTTTGCTGTGAATATGCAGCCAGTCAGATCAGCTTGTGTGTTTTGTTGTATTTCGCGCATTAATAATATTTCCTATCGCATCACTCAATCAGTACAATCACAGATGAGTTTTAATTTGGCTTCAACTGGAAACCCTGGCACCATCTCCATCTTCATAGATCACCGTTTTTATATTCATTGTTGTCATTCATAAAGTGGGCTCCTGTCTTCCTCAGCAGTTGCTCTTTATTTGATGCACCATTCTTTCCCACTGAGTGAATTTACGTGCACAACACATGATGGCTTGCATTTCCTGATGTGTCCTTGCATAAATAGAGGGAGGTGGGGGCTATCCTATTTCACCCCCAGAAGAAAGGTTCCCACTTTATAAATGAACTGAAAGGATGATGGGTCTCTGTTGCTTTACCATTTATTTATTTTCTCCTCATCCACCCTTTCATGTTCGGAGACTCGTAGCCTCACTCCCTTCCTCCTCCACAGCTCCTAGTGGTCTCTCATGTTGCTGTAATGTTGTTGTTGTTGTTTACCACTGGACGTCTGACGCTAATCTTTGCTTTGCCTTGGCTCTCTGTCCTCTGTTGGTTGTTGTTGACATCCTGTCCGTCCCTCCTCCATGTCCCCCGTCTCCCTCTTTGTTCCCCTCCATTGTCTTTGTCTGACCTGTAACGATTTATTTCACGCTTTTTTAATATTCATTTTGACCTTCCCTCCCCTCCCCCCCTTCCCTTCTCTCCCTCCTTTTTTAACGCTTGTGATGTCTGCATTGGCCTGTTTTGGTGTGACCAATCATCCACTCCAAAATTTGCGCGCAAAATCAAAACACCCGCCCACACAAAAACCCTGCATCACGATTGGCTGCTTCCTCCTGGCGACGACCTACCTTGCCCTCTGCCTCCTCCTGTGTGTGCGCACCCTGGCCTGTCCTGCCCTGCCCTGATTGGCGGCTGCTTCTTCGTGCCCTCTCTGTGATTGGCTGTGCTGATGGCGAACGGTGTAGTTCACCAAAATATGGGCTTCTTGCTGACAGGTACCACTTCTGTGAGAAGTGTTTCAACGAAATCCAAGGCGAGTGTGTTTCCCTGGGGGACGACCCCTTGCAGCCTCAGACGTGAGTACCATCACAATCCTGCCTTCCTCTCACACACAGATGACAACAACAGCTCTCCCATCTAAAACTTAGTTTCTCAAGTAATGCTTGTTCAGATGAGCAGTTATGCAATTCTGATATTACCAGCATCAAAGACTGAATGTACCAAATATCCATTTTTGGGTTTCTAACCTCCCAAAAGCATCTTGTTAACACAAGCATAGTTTAACCCTTTAACATTCCTGTTATTTTCACTTAATTAGCTTTAAGGTTAGAAAAATCATCTTATTCCACAATGTCTAACACTATCACACATATTCTGTATCAGCTCATTCCAGTTTGTCCTTGAAGCTATAATGTGATTTTATTAAAATATTCAAACCAGACCCACATCTTGTTCATGATATTTGATGTTTGAAATGTTGATCTTTGCTGGAATTTGAAGTGAAGTTATGTTTAGCTGCTATGATTAGTCAGTTAGTCCATTGACAGAAGATGAATTGGTAACTTTTTTGATAATCTATTATTCATTTTAGTTCTTTCTTTTTCAATAAAACATGCCAAAAATTCAGTACAGCTTAAAGTTCTGTGGGATTGAACAAGTTTTTGTAGTGGCTGTTCCAGCTGCAGCTCAGTGGGGCTAAAGAAGATAAACAGCTTAATTTTTTTGTAATTGCATGAAACGCTTGAATTCTTCTCTGGAGTTCAGTTTCAGTCTTGACTGCGATTTGGCTTCAAAGAAGATGATGAATCTTTTCTTAATGGGTGATTTCATCTTCGCCATCTGCTGGAATTCTCTCAGTATTCCACATAAACATCTTATAGTTACCATGTTATACTTCTGTCGCTGACACCTTGTATCTTAAGGAGGGATAATAAATCAGCATCAGTGTGCAGTGATGAAATATTTAGCTAGTGCGCACATTTTGAATTTCTAAAAGTATTCTCTGAATTGAAGATGGATCATGTGCGCAGCCTGCAGTTTTCAGAGGATTACCTTGTTGTGTCTGTTACAGTAGTTTACAGTTTTCTGATATTTCCCACAGGTCCATCAACAAAGACCAGTTCCAACGAAAGAAGAACGACACGCTTGACCCCGAGTTGTATGTCCCCTTCTTAACTTTCATTTGTTATTATCCCACACCATCTCTGTGATGATGTAAGATCTATGATTTCATGTGTTTAGTTTAAATTGCATTGATAATTAATTCTTATTTGAGAATAATAATAATCATTAGATAAAATATTTAGTTTTTTCTTTTGAGAGAACTACTTTTGGATATCATATCTTTTTGCTTATTTACTTTCCTTACTTACTTATTTAGCAACAGTGTAGTACGAGTATTTTCAGTGTGTGTGTGTGTGTGTGACACATTGCCTTGTTAACTTTGGATATTGTGTCTGCCTTTTTGTCTTCTCATTCTCCCTCTGCTCAGACTTGTGGAATGTATTGACTGCGGTCGTAAAATGCACCAGATCTGTGTCCTGCATCATGACACCATATGGCCGTCGGGGTGAGCCAGCTTTCATGCACATATTACGTGACTTGGCCTGGTTAATAAATTTGACGTTTTGTATTTATTGAAAAGCTTTAGAATCATCCAAAACCTCCATAAAGGTGCGGGGAAAAGTCCTGACACACATGAAGATGTTTAATGTAGCTATTTCAAGTTAAAGATCAACACAGCTCCAAAATACTGAGGCACAGTGTGCACAGAGTTTTGAAACTGAAAATACGTCGGACTCTTGATCATCAAGTCAGGACGGAAAATGCCTGCCAGTGAGGCGGCAACACATACACATGCAAACAGATTCCTGAAAGCTCGTGTGTAGAGTTAGCCTCTCATCCCTTAGTTTGATCTCCCTTCATGTGTGGTCTGTTTGTAATTAAAAGATGCAAGTCATTTCAGAGTCATTATAGCTGTTTTAAAGAATAGAAGGCTGACATGAAAGGCTGTCATCTCTTGATTAAAGCCACTTAATCACTGTTATTGGTGCTGATCGTGAGAGCTGATGGTAACCTGCAAATTTAACCATTTACTTCCTCCCTAACTACAGCTTTGTATGTGACAACTGCCTCAAAAAGGCCAATAAGACGCGGAAAGAGAACAAATACGCGGCCAAAAGTAAGTGGAGTAACTCTGAGCTAACCGCTCATTTCTTGCCTGTGCTGCCTACTTGACCTTTATCTGGTCATTTTGTTTTGATCCCTTTTTCTTTTAGCCTTAATACCAACATTTCTGAAAACCACAAACTATCTTAATGATGAATATGAGTCTAATAAAACAAATTCTTCTACATCTCTCTTTGTATTTTAAATAATTTTGTCAAGTTAGAAGTCAAGTCAATATGATTTATGTAGAACAATATCACACATCACAAGTTTGCTCCATGTGGCTTTACAATCTGTACAGCATATGACACCGTCTACCTTTTCTGTGCATTCAGACCAAACGCAGATTTAATCGTCGCAGCGCTTTTGTCGTTGGGATTTTATCGCTGGACAACTGCCAAGTGTTCACACACAACGCGATAATGTGAATAAACACAACCTGCAATTACAGCTGTATGAACCAAAAGTAAACATTTTGCTGTCATTTAATTGCAAAAAATAGATCAAACTGATGCTGAAATTACTACAGTATGATGCAGATTTGTTAAACATACGAATTCATGCTTTGTCAGGTCTGTCAGCAAGACCGCATCACAACAACTTTTATAATGTTTGTTTTCTGAATGAAGTTCGGATCGATCAGGGCTATGCTATGCTAACTTGGTCACCGTAAAGTACAACGATAGCTGGAATAAAGTTACAGACACACATTTTCTGAACTCACCAGCTAGTTCAACTTACACGCTTTCTTTTCTCCAAGCAATGTCCAGTTTTGTCTGGTTTTTAAATGGTTTGAAATGCACGGAAGCTCGCTCCTGAGATGTTCCAATGAAGATAAATCAATTTTGTAATCCCAAAAACTAAAGTAAAAAGCTAATTTAATAAAAGCAGTTAACTATGAGCTCCTCCCACAAGTAAACAGCGTAGTTGTCAGAGCATAATCCGGACAGACTACGGGTATTTGTCCAAAAGCTGCAGCTTCTGTCCTCGGCTTTTCCCTGCAGCTTAGTGGCTTTCCGTTGGCCAGCGATGTTTTACTTCTCCGCTCTGCCTGGTACTCTCCACACAACACGACGTCTGCGACATCCGGATAATTTCAGCGCTCATGGGCTATCGCGACTAAGTTGAAAATTTTCAACGCCTTCGCGTCGCCAGCAGCGCCCCCAAAGTTCCCAATGCTCACTTCGCTTTTGGTCTGAAAGCACCATTGGACCCTAGAAATAATTTTCTCCTGTTGAGTTGATCCATGGCTGCCTGGTTCGAGTGTCCCAGAGTTGAGCAGCTGAACTCATGAAGTGAACACATTTTGTCCGTCCTTTCTGTCCTTAACCAACACTGATTCCTTATCTACCCTCTCCCTCAGTGAGAATAATACCTGCAGTAAACCCAGTTTTTAAATTCAAAGCCTGTCATTATCCATTTATTAAAGTGGGATTGTAAAGGAGGAGAAAAGAGATTCACTGTGTTTCACTTCTCTTTCTTCATCCTTTGCCATTTGTTTCGCAGGACTTCCTCAGACCAAGTTGGGGAGCTTTTTGGAGTCACGAGTGAACGACTACCTCAAGCGGGTGCATAGCCACCTTGAAACTGGCGAGGTCACTATCCGTGTGGTCCACGTCTCAGACAAGGTGGTGGAGGTCAAGCCAGGCATGAAGTCCAGGTAGGAGGTCGAATTTCACTGCTGCTGCAGGTTTTGGATGTTTGGTGAGGGGAAAGACCCGAAAGAGCTGAATGTTGTGATATCTAACTAGTGAGTGTAGTGACAAACTGGTCATCACAGCCCTTCAAAATGAAAGAATCACAGGAAAGAAACGCTGGCAACAGAGTAAAAGCCTACAGTGACGGAGAAGACTCTACGCTCTTCCTACAACTACCTTAATTCTGCACTGTTTTTCACAGCTCACAAACACACCACCAGGGACAGTGTGTGTCCCTGAGAATTATTAGGTGATAGGATTTCCCTTCTTGTTTTACAGTGGAGGGATCTTGTCTGAAATAAAGAGTTGTGTTGGAGGAAAAACCTTCAAGTGAGAAAAGTAGAGACAAAAAGCCCAATCAGGTGCCTGTGAGTCCTGCAGCATGTCTGACATCAGGCTGACGTTAGTTTGATAATCGCTAGTTGGACACGTGTTAAACATAACAGAGCTTGCATCAAGTAGTAAAGTTAGTTTACAGTTCGTACCGACCAGCTGGATTCATACCATCAACGGCTGTTATCAGACGTGGGGGTGGGGAGGAGGGCTAGGTGCAGCACACTTCTCCAGGATCAGTTCCTTATGGAAACTCTGCACAAGAGCAGTTCTTCCACGCCACTGTGAGAATAAATGTACCAAGCTGTTGTTGCCAGGTAACAGCTGGCGGGCCATGGTGCAACAGACAGGTGTGGACAGAGTTTCAGTGGAGGGCAAGAAATATTGTGAACACTAGTGGACATAAATAGCAATTTTTTTTTTTTTTTTTTTCCAAGACAACAAATTGATTCAGTACCACTGATCCCATGGTCCAGCTATACAGTAACATTTGTGTCTTGTAGTTTTCTAGTTAATATAAAAAATTTTGATTTATGGTATTAATAGCAATTGGTAATCCATTTGGTGTTTTCCACAAAATGCCAACTCTTAAACCACATCCCACACTACTTAAGCAAACTCCTTCTGTCTGTGGTTTTGTCCTGGCTGATTTATGTGCTGCACTTACAATTTTCACCATTTAGTCTGAGACTAACAAAAAACAGTTAATGCAGTGGAACCAAAGATACAAATCCCTACAACTCTGTCAAAGAGTCGTACTTGTCTCACTTCAAACCAGCTAATTCTGACTCCCGCCCCCTCCTCCAGGTTTGTTGACAGTGGAGAGATGTCGGAGTCCTTCCCCTACAGGATGAAAGCCCTGTTTGCATTTGAGGACATCGACGGAGCAGATGTGTGTTTTTTCGGCATGCACGTTCAAGAGTACGGCTCGGACTGCCCGCCTCCCAATCAGAGACGAGTTTACATCTCTTACCTGGACAGCGTGCACTTCTTCCAACCTCGACACCTCAGGACTGTCGTCTACCATGAGATCCTGCTGGGCTACCTGGAGTATGTCAAGAGGCAGGGGTAAGAGAGAAATATTTACACAATGTCAAACATAATACGTGCAAGGACTCTAACTGAGCAGCTGAAGTCAGTCTTTGTGTTCCAGGTGCTGCTACAGACTGTTTCTAGTTGCATGAAAGCGCAGATGGAATGGAAATCAATTTACTACTTTTGTAACGAATACAACTACATTTCACCCTGTCAGGTTTACAACGGGCCATATCTGGGCCTGTCCACCCAGTGAAGGGGATGATTACATCTTCCATTGTCACCCAACGGACCAGAAGATCCCCAAGCCAAAGCGCCTGCAGGAGTGGTACAAAAAGATGCTAGACAAGGCTGTTTCTGAGCGTATTGTCCATGATTACAAAGTGAGACATGTTTTCTGTTTTTAGATATTGTAAAAACAATGACTCATCCACAGTCCATATAATAGTCAAAATGTTGTACAGTATGAATACTTTTCTGTCTTTCTTAATAAATTTTTGAATTATGCTTAAAGCATATGTTCCCATTCTGCTAATACTATATTCTTTGAGTAAAAGCACCACAGGTTTATCAGCTCTTGTGGAGATTTCAATCAAATATGAATATCTATGATTCCAAACTTCATTTGCTGGTGGAAATCATGTAATATGGTTAAAATACCTGGAACAGCTTGATTATGATTGATTTATTTTTTACGGTCAAGAATGAACTTTGAACCTCAAAGGTATCAGTTCCATTGTTTCCTAAAACAGTGAAAAGGTTAATAAGCACATAAATGACATCACAAACACTCATCTGTGTCGCTCTTTGTCCCTCAGGACATCTTCAAGCAGGCAACAGAGGACCGGCTGACCAGTGCCAAGGAGCTGCCGTACTTTGAGGGCGACTTCTGGCCCAACGTGCTGGAGGAGAGTATCAAGGAGCTGGAGCAGGAGGAAGAGGAGAGGAAGAGGGAGGAGAACAGCACCTCCAACGAGAGCACAGATGTGAGTGGAGTAAGAGTCCACTTGTAATCTTCACTTTCAGGCTCATTTTTGTCCCATAATGTTGTTTTTCATGTCAGTGCTATGTACTGACAATGTACATCAAACCGTTCACAGGCCACAAAAGGAGACAGCAAGAACGCCAAAAAGAAGAACAATAAAAAGACAAGCAAGAACAAGACCAGCATGAGTCGCGCCAATAAGAAGAAACCAGGGATGCCCAATGTTTCCAATGACCTTTCCCAGAAGCTCTACGCCACCATGGAGAAACATAAGGAGGTATGCAAGTCTTATTTAACTATAGAAATGGTTGCTTACTATTCTATAGGATGATATGGTGTATAAGAACATTAAGTCATCAGTTATCAAATTCATTCCACTCTGTGAATACAGATCATTTAAATAGTAGTCCTCGTAGACATCTGGTACTATGGCAACAACTGAGCTTAGTAAAACTTTAAATTTTACTTACAGCAGTCTAATACATCTAGATTAAATCTATAATCTATATTTTTATATTAACAATAGATTAAATGACTACTTGTACGTGGAAGGTGTTCTTGGAGAAGAACCCACAGAGAATTATCTAGATTAATGAATACTCAACTAAAGTAAGTAAAACTATATATTAATAAAGTCAGTTGGATGAAGTCTTTAGAGTTTCACATGTCTGGTCGGGTCAACTAGTAGAAAGTCGGACCAATGTGCACCTTTTCCAACAAACCGCAACATTCTGAGAGTGTTCCCTTGACAACTATGCCTATACTGCATGCGGAATGTCAGCGCGCACAACTTCCTTTGTTGTTTATGTAGGTTAGCAAGGTGTCCATTACTCGCGCCTCTCTCTCTCTCATTGACAACAGACCCGTCTGTGAACAGCCTCTCCTCTTCATGCACAATCTGAATCAGAACATGCACTCGAGGAAGCGACGGGTGCCAAAAATTGATCATCCGCCAAAAACAAATAAAAGGCAATAAAGCTGTAACGGCCAGTATCTGTACATCTACAACTGCTTTTATCTCAAACAGTCATAACGTGCAAATAAACATCACTTTATGTCCGTGGTAACAAAGGTATGTCTTTGTGAAACGTTAATGTTTCTTTTAACAGAATAATCACAGTTGCAGTGTTTGCAGTTTCAGTCCTGACAAAACGTTATTATAAGCAATAAAATTAGACTATTGTTGCCAATGCAATTTGTGTTTGGAAGGTCTGTGTTTAATATACGTGTTAATATTTGGAAAACAGACTGTAGTCTTTAATTAACATGATTCACAACTGCGTTAGGCTGTAAAGAAAATAAAGGAAGTGTCTCTCTTGCAATTATATAATTATTTTTGCTTGCTCTGTGCCAACCAATCCAGTCCAAACATTTGAAATATGGAGTTTTGTAGTAGCCTATTGCACTTGCCAAAAAGACAGATTAAAGCTCAATTAGTCCTTATTACCAGTTGAAATGCATTTAAATGGCCAATACAGCATATATAGCCTATGCAGTTTTGCACTTGCCAAAAAACTGATTCCACCTCACTACCTGTGGCTGAACGCTTCTCAAAATGAATGGATTTGAGTTATGGCTGATTATAGCTCACCTAGTCCTTTCAACCTGTTGAAATACCATTTTAAAGGGCCAATACAACAAGTAACACAAGTAGCTTTCCAATAGTCTGCCTGGTCAGTTGCTGCCTGGTCAGTGTGAACCCGACAATTGGGTTTTCTGAACATTCAAAAGACTGAAACCAACTGCTGCCAACTTCAGAATATTGAGTGTTAGTTGGGCGCAGTCTGTGCAGTGTGCAAGCAGCTTAAAGGAATCTACAAGAATAAGATAATCTGGTGACTGCAGCATCTGTTGACAGTAGGCCAAGATATTGTACAGATGTCTGTACAGGCAGGGTCTGAATCACACATCGTCCACCGACTGTGAGAAAACCTACAGCTGATCATCTCCACTCTTAATTCCCAGGTCTTCTTTGTCATCCGCCTCATTGCTGGTCCCACCGCCAACTCGCTGCCGCCCATCACTGACCCGGATCCCCTGATGGCCTGTGACCTGATGGACGGCCGCGATGCCTTCCTGACTCTGGCCCGGGACAAGCACCTGGAGTTCAGCTCCCTGAGGAGGTCTAGGTGGAGCTCCATGTGTATGTTGGTGGAGCTGCACAACCAAAGCCAGGACCGCTTCGTCTACACCTGCAATGAGTGTAAACACCATGTGGAGACCCGCTTCCACTGCACTGTCTGCGAGGTGAGAATCGGGACTCACACAAATCTTGCTTTTATCCCTTTTTTAATTTTAGTGGAGAGCAAACTGCAGCAAACTGTGAATATTTTAAATACTGTAATGTGTGTTTCATCATCAGGTGGTAACATGTTCAGCACTAAGCTGGTATTTATCATACTTTGTCCCCTTAAACTCTCTATCACTTATTTTGAAAGTCAGTATAGCCAGTTAGATCATGCAGATGAGGTCTTGGCTCTGCATTTAAGGTTACCAGACAATTTTGTGAGCATAAAACAGTGATTTGATCGATATTCACATTCTTTGCCTTGGTGAACAGGTAGCATTTAAGTCGCTGTTCATACTTTTGTTGTTGTCTAATGTAATGAGAAGCAATCTTTCAATGAGACCTCCATAAATGTAATCAACAGTCTTGTTTCACTAAGAGAATGGCGAGAGAGGAGAAAGGAAAACAGATGTAGCATTTATAGAACTCTTGTACTGACGAACCATTTTCGAATGCAAGCGTTCTAAAGAGGCACCGGAACATCTTTTGAAGATTTTTAATAGTTTGCAAAACACTTAAGAGGTACTGTAATCGCGTTTCAAAGCACTTATCCAATGATTTTCTTTTTCGTTTAAATGGCTACTGAATAAATAACAGACAACAGAAGCCTGGTGGATTAAGAGATGTGCTTTTTTTACCTCTCCTACAATTTGGAACAGCTGCTAAGTTGGCCTGAGGAGGGTGTCGAAAGCCATGTGCAACCCTGGATACACATGGAGTAGGTAGCAGCCCAGGGTCCACACCAGTTGCTGTAGGGTATGGGTGAGAGGATGAAGTAGGAACCAGTTTTTAAGGCTTATCAAAAGCCACATGGTTTGAGACAAGACTGGACTGATATGTAGCATTTTAGTTTCACAGGTCTGAAAATACAGGTTCAAGTCTGAACATGTATTAATTAATCCAATACTCATACCCATATTCATTTTCCCATTATTCCTTCTTCTCCTCCAGGACTATGACTTGTGCATCACCTGCTATAACACTAAAGGTCATGAGCACAAGATGGATAAGCTGGGGCTCGGACTGGACGACGACAGCAACAACCCGGCAGCAGCAGCTACCCAGAGCCCTGGAGACTCTCGCCGGCTCAGCATCCAGCGATGTATCCAGTCGCTGGTCCACGCATGCCAGTGCCGCAACGCCAACTGCTCCCTGCCATCCTGCCAGAAAATGAAGCGTGTTGTTCAGCACACAAAAGGCTGCAAGCGCAAGACAAATGGCGGCTGTCCCATCTGCAAGCAGCTCATTGCTCTGTGCTGCTACCATGCCAAACACTGTCAGGAGAACAAATGTCCAGTCCCGTTCTGTCTGAACATCAAGCAAAAGCTTCGGCAGCAGCAGCTGCAGCACAGGCTCCAGCAGGCCCAGATGTTGAGGAGAAGGATGGCCAGCATGCAGAGGGTGGGGCAGCAAGCCGGAGGGCCAGCAGGAGGACCTGTAGGACTTCCTTCACCAGGCAACAATGGTACCACAGCACCCAGTACCCCAACTTCTGGTGGTACCCAACCCCCAACACCCCAAACCCCGACTCAGACCATGCCTCCAGTCCCCCAGCAAGGAATGGGCCCTGGATCTGGAGTCCAGCAGCAACAGCAGCCAGGTGGGATGCCCCCTCAAAGTGGCATGCCTCCTCAGCACCCCCTTCACCACCAGTTCCAGCAGATGGCAGGTGGAGGAGGCGGGGCTGGGGGGATAATGAGCTCTCCCCAACATCAGCAGCAGATGCATCCTCAGGTCCAGCAGCAACAGCAAAGTGGAGCAGGGACCAACCTTCAACAGCTCCAACAGCATCCAAACAATTTGCCTCCATATGCCAGCAGACCCCCGGGCTCCTCCCCAATCCATCAGTCCCAGGGCAAACCGGTCCTTGGCTCTGCAACGCCTCCCCAGCAGCACCCTGGTGGCGCTGTCATGGCTGGAAGTGTTGGGGGCAAACACCCTCCCAGCCAGCCCCCAGGCCAGCCTTCCCTTCTACAGCAGCAACAACACCCCTCTTCTGGCCCTCCACCGGCAGCAGTAGAAATTGCTATGAAGATCCAACAGGTAGCCGATGCTCAGAGGAAGATGGCTCTACAGAGACAAGCAGCCCAGGCAGCTGCAGGCATGATGCCACCTCATCATCAACAGGGCCAAGGTCAACAGATGGGCATGGGACACCAAGGGTCAGTAGGGATGGTTGTTTCCCAGAGCATGCCACCACAGACCCAAGCAGCAGTGGCGGCTGCTCGGGCCCACATGGATCAACAACAAGGTGCTCCACCAGGGATGATGGTTGGTGCTGGTGGGCCCATGCAGCAACCCCCTCAGCAGGGTAACCTGCCCCAGGGCCAGCTCCCCCCTCAGGTACAGCTTCAACAACAGAGGATGGGTGCGCCACTTCAAAACCCCCAACAGCAGCAACAACAGTGGGCAGGCCAGGGGATGCCACCTCAGCAGAGGCAAGCTATGATGAACCAAATGGGCCATCCAACAATGATGGCAGCTCAACAACAACAGCAGCAGCAAATGCAACAACAACAGCAGCAGCACCAACAAGCTCAGGGCCATGCTGCCTTGATGAATATGGCACAGCAGCAGCAAGGTGCTGGTGGCGGTCCAGGGGGGCCTGTCCCTGGAGTTACCGGTGTCCCAGGGGTTGGAGCTGCTGGTGGGAACATTCCCCAGGCAGCCCTCCAGGAGCTGTTAAGGACACTTCGCTCACCCAGCTCACCACTCCAGCAACAGCAAGTCCTCAACATCTTGCGGTCTAACCCACAGCTCATGGCTGCTTTTATCAAGCAGAGAGCCTCAAAATACAAGGGGGGGCCAGTTGGACCAGGTGGTGTCCCTGGAGGTCCCGGTCCCACAGGGGGTCCTGTTGGTAATGTCATGCCAGGAGGCGGCCCACAGGTGAACATTAATGCTGCAGGTGCCAGCCAGCCAGGTATGCACATGGGAGGCCAGGGAGGGACGAATGTAAACATGGCCACTATTGCCCAGCTGCAGCAAGTGCAGCAGCAGCAGCAGCAGCAGCAGCAGCAGCAGCAACAACAACAACAGCAACAGCAACAACAGCAGCTACAGCAGCAGCAGTTACAGCAGCAGCAGCAGCAACAACAGCAGCAACAACAACAGCTACAGCAACAACAACAGCTACAACAGCAACAGCTACAACAGCAACAGTTACAACAGCAGCAGAGGCCGATGCTGAACAGTTTACAACAGCAGCAAGTGGCAGCTCTCCAGCAGCAACAACAGCAGCAACAAGGGGTAGGAAGAGGTATGCAGGGCCAGGGGACGCAGATGGCAAATCTCAATCCCCAGTTTAGAGAGCTGCTCATGAGACGGCATCTCCAGCAGCAGCAGCAACAACAACAGCAACAGCAGCAAATGGGAGTAAATCATGGTCAGTTCCAGCAGCCACAGCCTCCACAGGGGCAGGGTTACATGGGACAGCCTGGGATGCAGCCTCAGGGCCCACCTGGAGGTCCACCTCTTGGCCCTCAGCAGCCCAGTGGTCCCCCAGGCCAGCAGGGGCAAGGTTATCCGGGGTCAGTGGCCCAGCAGCAGGTCACAGCTGCACTCCAGCAGAGGCTCCAGCACCAGCACCACCTTCAGATGCAGCAGCAGAATGCCATGGCTGGCCTCCCAGGTGGGGATGCAGGGCCAGGTGGAGGAGGTGTAGGAGGTCCTCAGCAGCCACCTCAGGGCTCTCAGCCCACTCAGAGTGGCCCCCCACCTTCATCTTCTCAGGTTCTGCTCCAACAGGCCCTCCACCAGAGACTGCTCCAGCAGCAGCAGCAGCAGCAGCAGCAGCAGCAGCAGCATCTGGGCCCTGGCGGGTCACCAGCCCAGCACAGCAATCCCATGAGCCCTCAGCAGCCGCAGCAGATGGCCCAGTCGCCACACCCACATCTGCAGGGTCAGACGCTGCCCACATCGCTGGCTAACCAGGTGCGATCCCCACAGCCTTCACCCAGACCTCAGTCGCAGCCACCACACTCCAGCCCGTCCCCGCGCATGCAGCCCCAGCCCTCGCCACATCACATCTCCCCCCAGATGCAGACGGGTTCCCCACACCCTGGCCACCTGAACCAGCACCACCCGGGTATGGTCCCTCCACAACAACAGCAACAGCCATCGACCCAGCAGCAGCAACAGAACTCTATGGACCAGTTTGGGTCGGACCAGAGTGCCATGCTATCTCAGTTGAGTGGCATGGCTGGTCTGCACGGGCCAGGGGGGAACGGTCAAGACCCGCTGGGCCAGAATATGAATCACAACCCTTTAGACATCATGTAGGAATTCTACTTAATGTGTCAAGTTGAGCTGAAACGCGTTGTGATTCTTCGCACAAACTGCACTCACCCAGGACAGTGTTACTGTTATTACTTAGCCTTTCTTTTTTATACTATTATTAAATGTTATTTAAAATGTTTTCAATAAAGATGCATTGAACTGAACTTCCTATGGGAGATGAACAATAAATCAAGCAGTTGTTAAATAAAGAGTAAATGTAAGTTATTGCTGTTAATATATTTTTTTGCCAACTGTGGACAAAGAGGGGGGATGGTTTCTCTAGCACGCCCCCTCACCTCCACCTCTTGCTGAATACAAGAAAGGTGATATTTTTCGGGGGTAAATGGGAGTAATTGCCTTTTTTAAGAAATGTTTTTAAGATTTTAAAAGTGGTCAAGAATTAAAGAGGAAATGCAAAGAACTTTTTTTTTTTTTAAATCAGTTTCACTTCCCATTATTCAGTCTGTCTATTTGTTTTAGGGAGTGATGTGGATTATTAATGTAAATCCAAACATGATGCATATCTTCATTTTTAAATGTTTGGGTTTGCTTTATTTATTTTCTTTTGGGGGTGGGGGTGTTATGTACCCTGAGACTGCTACAATTCGTATAGAAATATATTTTTGTTATTGACTGTTAAGAGGGGGATAGTGGATATTTCCTTTCACTTTAGATGTCTTTAGTTGTCTGTCCAGGCAGGAATAATTAAATGTCAGTGTTTAATTGCAGTGGTCGAGCTCTGCTGTGAGTTTGAGACGTTGAACGGACATTTTGTGACGTCCCGGCCAGCTTCTGTATTGGACATCGGTCATGCTGGAAGGGACTCTTCCCTTGCAAACATGCAAGCCCTCTCCCTCGAATGTGTGTGCACTCCTTCCTTTAAAGACACTTAATATGGAGCAGTGGAGGCTTGGGGAGGGGGGGTGCATACCTGTGTGCCTGTAACATTTTGAGTACATGGGCTGGGATGTGAAAAACTGGGTGGGGTGGGCTCCTTTTACTGTTTTTAGGATTCTGCTGTTTGGAGTAAACAGAGGATTTTGATCCAAATGAACTGTGTTGCACAGAAATGAGGAGAAAGGAGGAGATATGAGCAGTCAGTCTCAGTCTCCGTCTCTTTCTGCCTCGTCCCCTTTGCTGCTTCCCTTGGACTCTACCCCCCCCCCCCCTCCTCTGGGGGAAGCCGTCGCCCCCCCCCAACTCCATCCTCTTTATCTTTCTGCTAAGAACTTTGGGAGTTTAATTTAATATTTTTTACTGTACAAAGGAAACAAACTGTGGACTCAAATACTGTTTTTATAATAAAATGAAAATTACCAACAGTGACGTGTCCTGCATGTGGCTGTTTGTTAGAAAAAAGATTGGGTATTTGGTGAATGTGCTGTCTGTAACGCTGCACAGTTAACCTGCCCCAAGGCAAATTAATGGAGTCGTCTTTCCTACAGGGTCTTGACAGGGACATGAGTACTGACTTTACAATAAGGTGACAACCAATACAGAGCATTATATTTTAGCAAGATAGGTCAGTAGTATGCTGCTGTCCCAGACTTCCTGTGTAAATAAAGATTAAAGATTTGCTGCATTTGAACTTTTTTCCATTCTCAAGAGGATTCCTGACCGTGTAGGTGGTTTTACACTAGTATTCCCAGCTGTGAAAAGAATGATGCACATTGTGATGATAACTACAAATTATGACTACTACTCATATTGCTCCCAGTAAGTTAATGCAGCATTTGGGTCAGGTGGGCCTCATCAGATAACATTTCTCGCTCCTCTTCTGTGCAGTGGCAGCAGAAAGTCTTACAGTGGGGTACATGAGTCAAAAACAAGTACTCATTTAGAACTACTTATCCTTTGCAGGGTCTTGGGGAGACAATCACAAGAGGTGGGGTAAAACCTGGACAGGTCGCCAGTTCATCTCAGGGCTGCATTTATTTATTACACTGATTGAACAATAACTGGAATAATAGATTTTAATAATGTGCAGTTTATGATGCCCCCCCTTAAAGTTTCTAAACTTGGCTTTACTTTTATGTTTGGATAACATTTATAGTGTTTCTCCCTGTGATCACAGCTGATTTATATAGCAAAGTGAAAAGAGGCTGAGTAGGAGAAGTACATACCAGAACATACCCAAATGATTCTCACTGATCTTGTTATTTTTCAGGCTAAAATGAAATGTTCACATGGGTATGTTTGAAGCTGAATAAGAAGCACTCAGAGCTTCTTGTTTCCTGAATGTTTCTTGTTAGTGCCCTCCCCCCCTCTTCCAGTGCTGCACACTTCAGACATACTGAGCCTATGATTCAGAGACTATTAACTTGCACTTAATGGCGTCACTTACAGTCATGTCTTTCCTGAGAGCAACATGCCATCTAGTGGTGACACTGGACAGTGTGTTCAATATTAAGGTAGTAAGAATGGACACATTCAATGGTTTTAACAGATACTTCACCAGAATTTTAGTAAAATACTGGAGTTAAAGTAACAAGTTGCATCAATATAAAAACTTATTTCAGAAAGGAGAATGTTTCATGTGATCAATAGGCTTTCAAAAGGCAGAGAAGACAGAGCACATACACTAGTAGCAGGTTTGAAGAAAGAAGTGTCCAGAATACTCTTCTCCTTTTTGGGAAAGTGACTAACACTTCCAGAAAGTTGACATTTGCGCATTTTCACTACTCAAGTGCAGTACTCAAAGTAGAATTAGACTTTAAAGATCTGTCTTTATTAAGATTAATAAATGAATAAAACAGAGCTACAGTGTGTTGACTTTCAGGACTTTAAGATTTGGCGGCGCTGTTGACCGCAAAACATCATCAAAATCAGTGTATCTTTGGGTTGACCAAAAGGTTACTTTTTTGCTCAGACAGGAGAAAATGTCTTGCTTGATGTTTAAATTGTGTATGTATGTCTAAAGTATAATCACTACAAATGTTGTGCTGTGATGCGAGGTGTCATTTTCCTCCTCAACCCCGTCTGAGTAATCCCACATGATAAATATTCTCCACGAGGCAGTTCTTTTTGTACATATTTATTGGAAATACAAGCAAAATAAAGTTTTCTTTGTTTGTTTTTTTTTTTACAGAGAAGACATGTTTGACAGTTCATCTTTATCAGAGACTGATTGAGACACAATAAGTGACATAAGTTAGTTTAAGCTTATACATGTGACATGCAATAAATAATAGTTCACTACAGCCTGACCAAACATACATCTGCTTCCATTTGTACATAACCCTACACAGCGTAACAGCGGCAGTAAGCTGATATCACTTTTGAAATGCACAAAGGCTAGTGAAAAGAGTGGACTATCAATTGGTAATACAAAAATAGAACCAGGAAGCATTTCGTACTTGAAAAGTAAAAGGACAGACAGACAGCAAACACAACTGTGTACTTCTTTTTGTGCACCCATCCTCCTTGAAATACAGAACTTCATCTAAGCGGCAGGCATTATCGCTCCGTCTTTGTTTTATTTCTTTTGTGACAGAAATAAACCTCTTCAACACACCACAGGACAGGGTTTTGTGCATATGTGGCACAGACTGACAGGGCATGCGGTTCGCTCAGTACGAATACTGGAAAAACAGCAATATCTGTACAAAACATTATCCGTAAGAAAGAGGAGCGACTGAAACAAGCCCCGAGAAAAGATCTGAGTGTGAGACCTATGTCTAGCTGGAAAGCACTGAGGACGACTGAAAAAAGTAACTGCATGGAAGTTGTAGTGTGGACTGTAATGTTTCAGGACTGCTGTCTCACCATCTTTCTCTCGCTCCCATTAAATGCAGCGACCCCAGGAGTGAAACCTGCCACTGAGATCCATTTAGTCCCCTGGATTGCAATGGATGACTTGAGATCATGTTTGGGGCCTCAGGCTTCCTATCTCACCTAATAAAATGAACCACAATGATAAAATTTCCACTCATTTTTTTATTCAAAGGCAATAATGTCTTCATTGAACTCAGTAGGAAATGAGTGTAACTTTGTAAACATGTGGAATTCTCTTACATAAACAACTATTTACATGTTCAAAATGAGTGGCAAGTCTACTTATGGTTATTTTGATCTCCCTCCCTCTCTCTCTCTCTCTCTCTCTCTCTGTCTTTCTCATCACTCAATAGCCATTAAAGAAGCCTTCAGCCACCTTGGCTTCTTTAAAAGTCACCGTCAGAGAGTTGATAGTCACGTTAGTCACAATCACGCTACTGGGATGCTCTGCTCCAGCGGGAGCAGTCTCACTGCCCGGTGTTGTTGTGATAACGCTCTGACTGTCGCCTTTCACTTCCTCCTTGCTCACCTCGTCAGGGTCACCTGCCGTCTCGCGGCTCCCCTGAACGCTCACTATCACAGAGGTTGTATTGTTCCTCTGGCAAACTTTGTTCTCTACTATGGGACACTCTGGCGCTGACTCCACGCCCTCCTCACCTCTGTCCCAGTCTGACCTGCTGCACACGGTGAGTGCGTCTTCTGGTCCGGCCTCGGACACAGAGGCGCTGTCGTTTGATTGGTCGCATGCAAATGTTTCATTCTGTCTTGCTCCACCTGGAGTGTTGGTCCATGTTCCTGTGCCCACCACTGTCAGGTCGGGGTCCACCTTCTCCTCCACGTCCATCTCTAAGTCCTGTCGCTCCAGCAACGGCGGGGAGCTGCACTCTGACTGACCTTAAAAAGAGAAAAAGATACATATTTATTTTAAAAGGTCAAACGTCATGACCAGGCTACTGAATTTCTTAGTGATTAAATTGAGAAACTGACCATATAAACTGTCTTCATGTCTCTCCTCGGTGGTGCTTTCAGACTCCTGTTTCTCTTCTTCGCTGGTGCCGCCCCAGTCCTCTGGACGGATGGTTTTGTGCCGGGATCCCTCTAGCCCCCGTTTGGCCACCCTCTGCTTGCTCTTCCTCCAGGCTGGCCGACGGTACAAGGCCTGGTCTACATCTGTGCTCATGGAGCGGGTGAGGGACAGACGCAGTCGAGGGGGGGCCTTCTCCTTGTGGGCACTGCGGAGATCCATCGCAAAGATGTTCTGGGGGCAGAGCAAGGTGACAGGTCAACAGGTGAACCATTACTGTGGTCATTTTGAGCTACACTATGTTTCCAGGTACATGTCTGTCGTCTGGATTGTTTCAGTGGATTCTTTCCACTGGTCACAACATGTTTGCTAGACAACACGTTTTTATTGTAAATATAGTCTTAAAGGATGTGATATTATATATAACTCTCACTGTCAACACATTCCATGAAAGGACCGAAACCACTGTTGTCCAAAGAGACTCCAGCCGTGCTAGCGGCTCAATGTGACTGTTAGCCACAACTGTGCTTTGAGTTAAATGCTGACCTCAGCTTGATAACATGACGTCAACATGCTCACAGTGATAATTTTAACATGTTGATGTTTAGCTTGTAAAATGTACCAGATTTACCTTCTTAGCTCAGCCTAAATTAGACAATGGTGCACTCATTGCAACTCCCAAAAGGGCCCAAGTCTGAGGTTTATTTTGAGACCCTTCCCACCACCTGGGTTAAGGTGAAACTGTGTTCACATAAACAAACTCCACACTGAGCAGCGAGGGTTAGTGAAGGAAGGTATAACAAAAAGCTTGCGAGAAAGAAAGGTGAGTGTCGTTACCCGCAGGACGAGCCTCCTGGGTCTGAGACCTTTCCTGCGATAGGCCAGAGCTCTCATCTTCTCCTGACTGGGAGAGAGGTGGGAACAGTGGGGTGGGAGAGGACAGAGACAAAGTGACAAAGAGAAACAGACTGTAAGCAAGAGTCCAGAAAGAAAACCAAAATAAAAATAAATAAATATAAAACTGCTTTGCAAGCATAAAAAAAAAGCTTTCCATGATTACTCACTGCTCTTCATAGGCCAGGACCAGGCGCGGGTCCAAAATATTGTCCTCTGGTTCCCAAGTACTGTACCTTCCAACACACACACATTCAAATCAGTTCACTCACAGGACGCAGAGCTCAGGAATCAAGAAGCTTACTAAGAAAAGGCTACTGTATACATATTGAAGGGATGAGGTCAAAGGAGGATGACTCAAGGCTTACTCACTTTGTGGACCATCCTTGCCATTTCAGTAGGTACTCCACATTACCCTGAGGAGAGAGAGAGGGAGAAGGGGGGCACACTTAGAGGAGGTGCAGCAGATAGAGTCGGACACATTCACAACAACCTGCACTTCCAATCTGCTCCAGCGTGATGCAGAAGTGAATCAAGCCGCTGTGTGCGAGCCAGAGAGAAAAGGGGGACTGTCACTTTAAAGAGCGGCGCGAGGGAGGGTCATGGACATTTTTCTCCCCTTCAAATGGTGTTTTTCTCAGGGATGACGTCAATGACGAGCGGGGCTGGGTGGCCTCCAAACAGCAGCTTCGCTCCGGCATCGCGGTGACGTGAGCCGGTTTCTAGAATGCACGGGCTCTTTCTGGAACATTACAACGGGGGCTCGGATAGGTGGGGTCACGCGAACATGTAAACAACGTGGTGTTGCGCAACGTTCAACCTGAAACAATTGTAAGAGTCAACCCAAGTGCAGAATAACTGTATTACTCTCCGGAGTGCCTTTGTGGAAGACTACTGTTTGACTGTGTCAATAGTTTTTATTATTTTATTATATCAGTCTAAACTTTAGCATACTACTGTGAGATGAAGGTGATGTTGCACTGCACTTCATTTATTTTACATTACAGAATATACTGTATGTGCACGTGCTGCGTCAAATAAGACAACGGCTTCCAAATTATCTACTGTGGGGATAATGTGTTAGCGCGAGTCCACATATACTGTAAATCAATGGGTCACCATTACGCAGCAGCACTGATATTACACAGCAGTTTCGCTCAGATACAAAGCTCCGCTCGCTGGCGAAGCTTTAAATCGACTTCGCAGGTCCCCGTGCATCGGTCGTATACCCCCTTGCAGGATACATACCCCCTTCAACATTTTACTACAGCTGCGTAGGCTGCCTCAAAACACGTTCATGCTGCAGCACCTCAGCAGCTGCACGAGGAGGCTAAAGGATGCGACCCAGGCTGCAAAACAATGTTAAACTTCGGCGCAGTTAATTAAAAGAGCTGATTAGTCTGAACATATCTTTTGTGTGAACTATTGGAAAACTGCGTAGCTTATAGTTTTTTTGCGCATGAGGACAGGGGATGCTACACGGAGCGTTAGGATAACAAGCACAGGAAGAGAAGTTATGTAAGTTATATGAAGTATACCGGGGTACTAGTCGTCCTTCTTACCTTTCTCACTCTCTTCTTTGTTATTGACTCCACTGCAAACACTTGGTCTCCTATTGATGACAGCTCCATCGCCGCGCGCTTCTCCACACAGCTCGCAAACTGGATGTTTGCAGTTATTGTCAAAATAAAAACTGTCAAAGAGGAAAAGGAGGAAGTGTCCGCCCTCGGAGTGTCGCTGCAGCTGCTCGCTCCCGGTCTGAACACTTGTTTTGAGTCTCTGCGCTTTCCTCACACCAAACTCCAGCTGCCTGCCTGCCTCCCTCCCTCACTTTTTAAAATCTGCGACACATCAACAACGCGCTGCTTTAAGCCGCGCGCGCCCCCTTTCCATTGCGTAGGGCCGAGCCCCCAGTGTGCGTGCCCGCGCTCACGAGGCCGCGCACGCAAATTGGAGCAGTGTAGGAGGGTCATAACTACAAGGTTATGTGAAACTAAAGTTAGGGGAGGAGATGCTGCTACACAATGAGTGACTTCACGAACGTTTCTTCATTAAAAAATATTGCCAATTATCCAATTAAGAGACAAAGGTACTTCAACACAGTTCACTCATTTTTATTTCAGGGCCTAAACTTTAAAAAAACTTTACTTTTTAGTAACATCCAAGCCTACATGACTTATCTTAATGTAACCTAATGTTTTATTAAATTACTAGAAAAGCTTTAACATTCTTGCTACTTTAAAGAAGCAGTGTAACATTTTGTGAAATACTTTTATTTGCATTTGTGTGGAGAGTTACATGAGAAGATCAATACCATTCTTGGCTGGGAGCAGTTAGATGTCAGGTAGAAATAGTCTGAACCCATGGCATTTTACACCTTTTGATTTTACTCCAAACAACAATTAGTGAGCTTTATGGGTGCTAGGCAGATTTTATTATCTTTGGACAGAGCCAGACTAGGTGTTTCACCTTGTTTCCAGTCTTTATGCTAAAATAAACTCAGAGGTTGCCAGCTGTAGCCTTAAAGCTGGGTTAGATAACTGATTTGTTATTGAAATTCTCTTTACATCCCGACAGCAATCAATAAATCAAATGTTCTGATACAAAAATGAAAAATCTCCAGTATTTGTGGCAGGATTATAATAAGTCTGAATTGAATGATTCGCTGGCTTATCTGACTGAACTCACAGCACATGAACATGTGTTTTGGGGGTGTGGCTTTGGAGGGAGGCCTGAAGGGAGGGTGTAGGATTTGTTTTTTAGTTGGATACTTTCAGAATCTAGCCAGCTCTAGCTAGTTTCTCCAACATTGCCTACACCAGCTTTAACTCTCCACGAGAAAGCAAATGAGTTCCCAAACTGTTGAACTATTCCTTAAAGCTATTAACAAACATGTCAGTCCAATCAAAGCCTTAAACTATGACTAGTATGACAGCTCTAAAAGGTTTCTGCTCTTTCAAAGGTTAAATACAGTCAAATGAGGTTGTGCAGTTAAAATACTGAACTGAGTTTGAGCTCATGTATTTTTATGTAACAGTTGTAAAGGCAGGAAAGATCAAAATCTGCAATGGAAATGAAGGCCTTGCTTCACTCTCTGGTGGAAATGTCCACCCCTCCAGCCGTGTTTGATCCAAATATGGAACTAAACACTGACTGAAAGTCTTTACACCCTGAATGCTAAGCAACCCATCTGCAGAGAGGAGAGCTCGAAACAAGGTCGAGCACAACACAGATAATGATAATGACTGCTGATATGTTGCAGCCAACATATATGTTCTTTACAGAGGAGTGATTCTAAAAATCTCTGTTCAGTGGTGTTATGACACACACTTACTTATTTTTCTATCTGAATGTGTACTCGCCCTGCCCCCAGGTGGGAACAGCTCATAAAGGTAAAGGCACTACTGTGGAAAAAAGGCCCAGAGCCAATTTCCTTTTGTCTTCATTGAGGCTGTGTGGATCAGTTTACAGTAAAACTCCCAGTAACTACTCACACAGGGTCTCTTCGCACGGTCCGCGATCTCGCTGCACCTGGATCACTTGCATCACTTATGGGCACTGGGTGTCATGGCAACTGTTTCTACAGCGACTGCTGAAAAACTGGATGATGATGATGATGAGACAGCAGGAAGAGTTGATGAGTGGTGATCCACCTCTACTGACCTGTGACCTTTGACCTCGTAGTGCTGAGGTTATGTAAACACAATGAAATTGTTGTAGTGATGTGCAGCATCTGTGGTATAAAGTAGGGTTAGTCAAATCATTTTATAGTCATATGGGCTTTAAAACAAAATAAAACAGCTGTAGGTGTTTATTTCACTTTAGATTAGAGCGGCTTCCAATTATTTTCTCAGTAATTTGATAAATTGTTTGGTTTATTGTTGTCCCTGTGGGGAAATTAAGCTGCAGCAGAAATCACATGTCGTTTGGCAACAAAAGACAAGAAAAACTGACAACAGATAACAAGGAATGGTAAATATGGTATATAAAATGTCAGTAACTACTAAACGCCTCTCACAACGTCAGAGAGCACAAGCTCTCCAATCCAAATTGTCCCAGCAACTGTCCAAAACCCAATAGTAATCAATTTATTAAGCTATTATTGTCACAGTATACAAAGAAAGACAGAAATATTAATAAATATTAGCAAATGATAACATGTGGGAAACTGAAAATAACTTAAAAGTGATTTGATTATCATTATCGTGTTGCAATATTCCTAAAACAAAGGCATTACAGTGCCTGTGGTAGGATATTCAACAATGTAGTGACCTCACTGGTGTCCCTAGAATCCGCCAATGTCCAAGAACCATAATCCTACATTTCCCATAATGCAACTGGATTGTGTCGTTCATTAGATCCCGACTGCCCGGTAAACACTTTCAAACATTACACACTCCAGTTTGTAAAGCAGTTTGTGTTCAAACATTTTTTGTCTTAAGCCCAAACCGAGAGAACCCTGGTGACATCACCATGACATCATCAGGGTTATTTTCTCACACTGCCTTCAGAAGCGCGGAGGACATTATACCAACGTTTTTAAAAGGCTGAGCGGTGCTCTTCATCAGGAGTAAACTGAACTTCATTTGTTAATGGTGGACCGCCCCTTTAAGTTTATGCTTTAATACTTATTCAATATTGTTACAAGACTTTGAGGACTCCTCCTGGGAGTGAAGGCTTACAGTACAGTCTAGTGATCTTAATGTGCACTTTTGTGTTATAATATCATAATATTGTGTTGTGTTCAATAGTGAGTTTGAACAGTGATGCTGCATGATGGTGTTCTTATAGCTCCAGTAATTTCTCTCAAGACTTGAGGTGATCTCACTATTAACATTTACCGTACTCCTATAGTAACCCTACAGGGACCGGCGTTACGGTAACAGTCAAAAATGTATAACGTGTGAACGCTTTTCCCGTAAGGAGGAGGTTACCGCTGCAATTCAGAAAAGAAACACGGCAATCACATGACTTGTTATCTGCCTGGATACTACTGTAGCGGAGTTGGGAGCTGAGGATGGAGCGGCAAAAACAACACAGCAGGCAGGACGGATCACAGCGCGCTCCCACCCACGTGCAATGACTCACGCATGACTCACCAAACGTAACGGTAAAAAGATCGCTACTTCTCTGGAATATCAACAGAGGGAGAAAAAAAAAAAAAACATTAGGGCAACTTACAGCCTCATGCCGGGAATCCGTGCGTTTCTGATTTTCCTTTGTCCCAACCCCTTCATCCCCCGGGGCCCCGCACTTCATTTGTCTCGCCTTGTTACAGAGGAAAGCAGCACTTCTGGGAAAATGAAACCATTTCAATCCTGCAGTAAAACACCAAAGCTGCAAACTTTGTCTGAGAGGAGGCTTCTTGTCTGGTAACATGTGGTCACTAGACATTTTTCTAGGGAACAGACTTATTAACATTTAACATTGGTGTGTGCATGTCTGCAGGGAAAAACAGCCAGGAGGGGTGGAAAGTACATTTACTGAGGTACTCCCAGTATTCCCATTTATGCTACTTTGTACTTCTATTCTACTGCATTTCAGAGGTATTGTACTTTTTATTCATTTATTTGACAGCTGTGCTACTGGCTACTTTGCAGATTACAATTTTACAATTCAAACATTTGATTATCATAAAAAATGTGTTATAAACCAGCCTTCAGGAGGTGAAATTAGCAGCAAATTGACCAACTACTGCAGTAAAACGCCACTTAACATGAGTCAGTGTCAGTAATAATAATCATCCAATATCATATAAGGGGTCATTTTTTACTTTTACTTTTAATTTGACTAATGCGTATGTACTATTCTTGAGTACACTTCTGAATGCAGGACTTTTACAGTAGCCTATTTCTACATTGTGATATTGCTACTTTTACTTCAGTAAAGGATCTTAGTACTTTTCCCACCACTGGTCAGGACAGGAAATATGATATATGCACGTTTTGCTCCATTTTGCACAAACTACACTCAATAACCAGTGATGTAATGTGGCATAACTGTCACTAAATGTGAATATGTTTAGCAGAATGCATTAAGAATAAAGTTTTTATATTTTCTCTTTATGTTTATAATGAACAGACGCAAGAAAGATATTTTGAGTTTGGGTTCTTTCCAAAGCTGAAGACTCAACACAAAACAAAAACCAAAACCAGTGGTACAAAGACTAAAATACAAAATACTCAAAACCAAAACCAAAACTACCTCTGTCATGACTGTAAAAACATAAATAACCATGAACGGTTACAGTATATTTATTAGCATCCATCAATATTAAAAGAGAAATATTTGGTACTGAAATTTGCTCAGACTACAGAAGAGAAGCAACTCCTTTTGCATTTAGAATGTAAAAAGCATATTTTGCTGTTTCTTCCAACAGCAACCACCTTGATGAATCAACAAATGCAAAACAACTGTCTCCTGTTGGAGACACTTAGTGATGGTGAAAAGGATGAAAACCAAAAAACAACACATTAAGACATACTATTAATTACACCACTTAGGTTTTCTTTAAAATACACATTTATTCATTAAAGACAGCTTCTGTGTCAGAATCACTCTCCTCCAACTGATCTCAGTCGAGCTGTCAGGACAGAGAAACGCAATAGACAGGGAATTACTAGTGTCCCATTAACTGATGAGCAGCTTCATGGTACTACTGCTATTTCTCTGAGATTTAACTTCTCTGTTTTTAGCTTTTTACTCTGGCAGAAAAAGAGTTCAGAGTAAGAAGAATTTGAGACTTTGGGAAATACGTTTATAAACCAGAAAAGAGCCATTCATCAATTCACAACTGCACCTGGAAAATACTATTTCTGATTTTGTTATTACATGACTTTTTGCACTCCTGGAACTATTATCAAGATGTAACTTTGTAACTTGGTTAAATTCTTATATACCAGAAGAAAAAGTCCACCTGCTGTGAGGAGGCACTTACAATGGGAGTTATTCTACATTTAAAAAAAAAATCAAACCTGACTTGTTACACTTAGTGTCATTAACCTGCTGTCACCGCTGGGGACATGTGACCCGGGTGTGACCAGGCATGTGGCAGATGCCGCAGGTACGAGGTTTTTTAGCAGCAGGAGGTTTGTTAGCGGCGGTATCTCCGGTTATCTTCCTTCCCTTCTTCCCGCCGTCTCCACCACCATTAAATCCACCACCAAAGCCACCTGACACGAGAAAACAGGTCAAACGCAACATGAGGACATTAGAAGTCACTGCAAAAAAGGCACTGTGTGCACTGGTACTGACGGCTTCGTGTCAGCCTGGTAAGTGGATGCTTCAAGGTCTTAGTGTGAGCGTTTGTGAGTCGTGACAGCTTTTCTTTATCATTAAGTAAAGATGCAGGTGAGAAGAATCTCTTTCTCTCTCTCGGGTTTTTATTAAAAAACGTGTGTTTTACAAAGCATACAGAAAGCATTAGATGACTTCAGGCTCAGTGATTTGACAGCCATATTTATGCAGTCAGACATTATCAAATAAAATGCACTGCAAATGTTTATGTGAATGCATTAATGAGTGTTCTTCCCTGTAATGTGAAACAGAATCTGCTTGTGATGCAAGAGACATTTCAGAGACAGTAAACAGTAATGATTCGATAAGAGCCACAAACCAAAACCCTTTGAAGATGGATTTTCTAAAAGTGCCTGTTTGGTCAAAATCAAACCCAGCAGATTCGAACAGTGCAGAAACTCTAATTTTGGGCTCTGAAAGGCGACTATACTCCTTTAAGCAATCGAGGCGTTTCACTGATCTATTTTTAATACAGACAGAATAAGAGGCTCTTTTTAAACTCAATGTAGCTGCTAACTGTAGAAAGAGAGTCAAGAAAAATATCACTTACATCTCATTTAACAAGAGTCTACAGCCATGCTGGCGGCTCTGTAAGGCTGAACTTCAACGCTAACATTGGCGTGCTAACATGCTGTTAATGACAATGCTAACATACTGCTTTTTAACATGTTGAACATCTTGGTTTAGTGTGTTAGAATGCTAACATCTGCTAATTAATTGCAACTGGCCTCATCACCAAGTTGCGGGACCCCCTCTTGACACAGACGCTCATCCTGCATCATGGACACCACACCTAACATTAACATACACACGTCTCCACTTCTGTCAACGTGTTATACTACCACACATATTTTGGATTATACATTTCACATGTACATTTCACATAGTTATACTGTGAGCTTTGCACATTCTTTAATTTTAAAAATGGATATATTGTACACATTTTTATAATATTTCTTATTATTTTTAATTCTATTTTCCATTTATGTTTATTGACATCGCAGTACTCACTTCATCATCAAAATACCAAGGCAAATTCCTTGTATGTGAAATATGTACTTGGCATTAAA